ATCCCCAATCTTGGGAAGTTTGGTGAAGTCCATAGCTTCAGGAGGTCAGTTGGGGCTGTTGGAGCAATCACGATGCATACAATATCTATATCGAAAGGAAATATAAAACGAACAACAAAAAAAAAAAGAATGGAGAAAACATGAGTGGGGAACTGTATGTGGTTTAGTGGCTAAAGCACTGGAGGAGGATCTGGGAGTCCCAGGTTCGAATCCCCACTCTTACAGAGGAGCTCGGAGGATGACCTTGGGCCAGTCATGCACTCTAGGCCCAACTTACTTCACAAGATCATTGTGAAGATAAAATGGAGGACAGAAGAATGATGGAAGCATCTCTGAGGAGAAGTTGTGTTTTTATACACGGCTTTTCTCTGCCTTAGGGAATCTCCAAGGGGCTTACAATCGCCTTTCCCTTCCTCTACCCACAAAAGGCACCTTGTGAGGTAGGCGGGACTGAGAGAGTGGTGACAGAATGAGAGAACATTGACCGGGCCAAGGTCACCCAGCAGGCTGTATATTGCCCTTATGTATATTGCCCTTCACTTGGAGTCTCAGAGCAGCTTACAAACTCCTCTCCCTTCCCCTCCCCACAACAGACACCCTGTGAGGTAGGTGGGGCTGAGAGAACTCTGACACAAACTGCTCTTTCTCAAGGACAGCTGTGCCAGAGCTTGTGACTGACCCAAGGTCACCCAGCAGCTGCAAGTGGAGGAGTGGGGAATCAAACCCGGTTCTCCCAGTTCAGAGTCCGCACACTTAACCACTACACCAAACTGGCTCTGAGTGGGGAACCAAACCCAGTTTTCTAGATCAGAGTCTGCTGCTCGTAACCACTACATCTTACTGGCTCTCACTGCGGAGGGAAGTGAGCTATAAATAAAGTAAACAAGCAAATAAGAGTCTGCTGCTCTTAACTACTACACCTTACTGGCTCTCACTGTGGAGGGAAGTAAGCTATAAATAAAGTAAACAAGCAAATGAATAAATAAAAACCCTGCTGCCCTGAGTTCCTTGGAGGAAGGGTGGGATTAAAATGTACAAGTGGATAGATTCCCACAGAGGCAGCTGGTCACACACCTTCCCATCAGTTTGTAGAATTCAGCTGGTGAGTCACAGCAGATAGCTGGGCCAGGGCCTTTGGTATTTTTCGATCGTATTTTTTTATCCCAGTCATCCTCCAAGTAGCTCAGGGCAATATACACAATTTTCTGTTAGCAACCATCCTATGAAATGGGTTAGACTAGGGATCAGCAAACTTTTATAATTAAAGAGCTACTACATCAACATTTAGAACAAGTGACTGAGAGAGAACCAGCAGGAGAAAGACCATATGTATAACTTAAAAATCAATAACTGTACATTAAAATAGATAACTTTACATTAGTGATTTCCGCATCCCAAACACTAGTTGTCGTAAGTCTTTTATTAGGAGGCGCCACACATGAGATCTCACACTAAGTCCTCAATGTACACAGGAACACCCCTGTGCGGTTGTCTGTGCATGGTTCTCACTGGGATCATTACTGGTACCTGTTCACCTCTTTCATAGCATCTGCTGTTAAGCGTCTCTAAAAAAAACACCCCTCAGACCCATAAAAATCTTTGCCTGCCATTCCCACCGCACACTGGTTCTTCTGGGATGCCACCACCTTCCCCTCCAACTTATCTTGACTTAAATATTTCATTTTCCCCTTTAAAGAGCCATTGTTGGCTCTGAACTGAGCTACGTTTGGCTCTAGGGCCATAGGTGGCAGAAACCTGGGTTAGACTGGGAGGGAGTAATTGGCCCAAGGTCAGCCAGCGGTTGCTCACAAGACTCCACAGCTTAGAGGGAACATTGCCGCACACTGGTTCTTCTGGGATGCCACCTTCCCCTCCAACTCATCTTGACTTAAATATTTCATTTTCCCCTTTAAAGAGCCATTGTTGGCTCTGAACTGAGCTACATTTGGCTCTAGGGCCATAGGTGGCAGAAACCTGGGTTAGACTGGGAGGGAGTAATTGGCCCAAGGTCAGCCAGCGGGCTTCGTGGCTGAGTATAGATATGAACCTAGAAAAGTCAGATGCTCTAATGGCTATAAGCATGATGGCTTTCAAAGGGGATCAGACTCATCAGATTCACCCACCTCTTACAGATCCGGATTCTAGAGACTCTGGGGACTTTGCTTCCATTGAAGAAGCCGAGCCGAGCCCAGATCTCGTCAGAGCATGGAAACGAAGCAGGGTCCAGTCTGGGTTAGTACTTGGAAGCAGTGTTCCCTCTAAGCCAAGTTAGTGTGAGCTAGCTCACAGTTTTTTAGCCTCCAGCTCACACATATTTATTTATATTATTTATTTCTTCGACTTGCTACCCCGCTCTAACCCCCGAAGGGGTCTCTGAGCGGCTACAGTTATTCATTATCCCTAACCTATGGCCACAATTCTTAGGGGTGGGGACATCTCATTTGTACCCCGCCCTCCCTGCAAAGCAGGCTCAGGGCGGCTCACAACCAATGCATAAGTACAATTAAAACAACATAAAATCATCTAAAACAATTCAGTTATAACTAATACAAGTTCAGGAAGGATGCAGTAGCCAAATCGCTCGCTCACAGCTTTAATGCCAGTAGCTCACAAAGTAGAATTTTTGCTCACACGATTCCACAGCTTAGAGGGAGCATTGCCCTTGGAAGTTGCTGGTGTGCAGAGGAAGGCGATGGATGGGAAACCACCTCTGCTCATCTCTTACCTGGGAAACCCCGTGGTCCTGGGGTCACCACAAGTCAATTGCTACTCGATTGCACACAATGACTATTATTCAGGTGAACCACACCTTAGGTTTGCCAACTTAATTTTTGATAAACTTTAAAACTGCCTGGAAAGCTGTTCTTGGCAAGGCATCAGCAGAAGGCAAGCTTTATGGGGTGAATTTCTGCAGCTATTAAAGGCAGAGGAGCCAAGCCAGGGGGAAAAAAAATCTTAGCAATCCTGTTCAAAATGTGTTCTTATAACCTCTCCCTCCCCTCATTTCTGCATGCCAAGCCTTACCCTCTGGAAGTGCGATGCCCAAGAGTAACAGGAAGCCCTCCTTGTGAGTGAATCCTCCGCCTGTCCCGCTCCTTCTGCCCTGGAGAGTTCAGCAAAAAAAACTTGTTGGGGTGGCGGCTCAGCCTTTGAGGAGGGGGAGGAGGTTATTATACAGCCAAAGTGGCAGAGAAAACAGGTACGGCATGGCTACCTTCTGCCCTGGAACTAGCTTCAACCTGATGGTGCCACAGAGAGCTCAATAGGAGCTGGAGGTCATTGGAAGAGCAAAGCCTTCAGAAGGAACAGCAAACAGCCATTCTGTTTACTGTCAACAGTTTGGCCTCCTCCTTCCTTGTACTTGGGACAGGATCCTGGTACCATAAACAGTTTGCTCGAAAGGCAGAAACTCCACTTGCACAGCTTCATAAGCTGCCCCTATTGGGGAATTTGTATTTTATATATTTATGTCCTTCAACAGGCAATGTCCCAGTTTTTGCCTTTTGAAGATGCCTTGGTAAAATGTTTTGAGTGCGAATTCTGAGCATGTAAGACAAAACACCTCTGTCCCTGATTGTGTTTCCCCAGGCCAGTTTGAGAAAACACACAAAAGCAGTCCTGTAGAGTTGGAAACCAAAAAAATAATGTATTAATTAATAAGGAAGAATACAGATTCAAGGGTTTTGGAACCTTGAATACCCAACAGATTCTTCAAATGTTACAATGGGTGAAATAGCATTTTATACTTCACATTACATCAGAGAAATAAAACAGAATTATTGGTTCCATCAAACATTGTCAAATTTCATCACCTATTTCCCATTGGGTTAAGACCGGGGTGGGGGGGGCTGTTCCCAGGCAGAGTTCTTCTTTTCCTAACAGAACAATACACTTTTCTTTCGGAAGCTATGAAGTTGCATGTTGTATCTATATAACTGATATGGTTACAGAGTGCTTACTGTTCTTCATTCTAGCTAGGTTAACTCACATTAGAAACATGCGCAGTTGTAGCTGGCCAGAACAAGCAAGGTCGTGGGTAGCATAACTGTGTATCAGCATTTCAGCCTTCTTCCCAGCATGCATTCAAACAACAGTCACAAATGAACCAAAGTTAATACCTGAATACATTCATGATGTCAGAAACATATGCATTATGGAAGTGCTAAGCACACCTACCAAGTCAAACCTGTTAGGCAATGGCAGAGTACAAAGTGGTTCATAAAATGTGCGTACAACACTAAATGTCCCACACTGCCATGAAGCTTGCTGGGTAACCTTGGACCACTCGATGTTTCCCAGCCTGAATTTGAAGCTTGCTGGGTAACCTTGGACCACTTGATGTTTCTCAGCCTGACTTGTTGTTGTGAGAATAAAATGGAGGAGGGGAAACAGATGTATGCTGTCCGTGAAGGAAGGGTGAGATGAAAAGGTACTAAATACATAAATAAAGGGGAGCCTGTACGTCCCTGAGGCATGGGTCTGTGATTTTAATTTTAGATTGTGATCTTGCCTGGTCTATTTGAGACCTATTTACAGCTGGCAAGAATTTTATTCTCTAGGCCAACCAGCAGAAGAGAAAGATTGGAAAATCGACAAAGGAGATGTGTATGTGTCCACATTTGCTGTTTTAGAAGTTCTTCAGTTGTTATAATGCCTCCTGAGGAGAACACTACAAACATGTTTAGGGGCACTTCTTGCCCTAATATCATTAAAAAAAAAAATTCCTTATCAGAAGCAGAAAGAACTCTGCACAAGCTCAGGGACATGATTTGTGGTGCAAGGTTTTTTAGAGCCAACCCTCCCCCCTGCTTGCTATTATATCTTCCATCTGCCTCCCTGCCACCCCTCTTCAACCTCTGCTGTTGCCGCTTATTATTCCTCTGCCTGCTTCAAATGCTTTCTGGATTCCTCGTGATGCTACTATGCTGGTCATAACCCAACCCTCCACCCCTGAGTTATTTATGCTCCTGCAAACTTTACCACACCAAGCAAATGCTTTCTGGCAGGGCCTGCGTTTCTCTGTAGCAGCAAGAATCCGTCATCAAGACACACCAGTGTGGTTGCTATGGGCTCCCGGTTGCCAAGTAACCAGGTTCTGCAGTGGTTTCCTCGCTTAAGGTAGGCCTGATTTACTGTTTTTAATCTTTAGAACTCAAAAAAGCCACACGCCATTCTGGTTTGGGGCAACATTTCCACAACACAGCTGGAAACAAAAATATGACAGGATAGGCTCAGCGCAAGTTGGTAGATAATGCAATCAGTGCTGGCAAACTGGCTGGATGTGGGTCCAGCCTAGAATACATAGCTCTTGCAGGAAAAAAAGAACCCTTTAAAAACCAGAAATAGATATATGAAACCCTAAGGTTTGGTAGCAGTGTCGTTCCAAATGCAAGATGGGGGACATAGCGATGCCAGCCTCCAGGTGGGACCTGGGGATCCCCCCAAAATTACAGCTCATCTCCAGACTAAAGAGATCAGTTCCCCCAGAGAAAATTGATGCTTTGGAGGGTGGTTTCTATGGCATTGTACCCTGCTGAGGTCCCTGTCCTCCCCAGGCTCCATCCCCAAATCTCCAGGAGTTTTCTAACCTGGATGTGGCAACGCTATGCCTCCCATCCCCCAACAGTGGCCAGGGGCGCCTGGCAAAACACGGTGGAGGTAAACAACAGAGGAAGACCTTGCTTGTGGGACTCCTGGAGGATGAAGCCTTGGCTGGCAGGCCTACTGCTACCAATCTTTGTCCCCTACTGCAGCTTGATAGGGTGGCAGGGGTAAAATGGGAGGGATGCAGTGGCATTCCACAGTGCTATAACGTTAGGGTTGCCAAGTGCTTTTTTAGCCGCAGCAGGGGACTCCCAGCTGCTGGATGGAGTGCGCGCACACACGCCACATGCACGTCACCCAGAAGTGACGTGACGCCGCCGGGCATGCTGGGGGCGGGGCCAGCCCATCTGAGGGAAAAACATAGAGTTTTCCCTCGGATGACCGTGGCCCTGTCCCCAGCGTGCCCAGCATGGTCACGTCACTTCCGAGTGACGTGCACATCGGGGTGGGGTTCCCCCTGGGGCCCGATCCGGCAGCGGCAGGGAACGGGCCTCTGTGGCTGGGGTTTCCCCGCCCCCCGGGGGGACTTGGCAAGCCTATATAACGTTCACTTCAGGCTGAGTAACGGAAAGTGATGTCACCGTGTAATGGGATGCTCTAGTGTTATATTGAACTCTATGGTTTCAGGTGAATCCTAGATTGTCCCATGGCATGTTGATGTCACTTCCGCTTACACAGCCAGAAGTGATATTGCCACGCCATTTGGGTGACACTCACCCCTCCAGTCTCCAGAGGGAGTGACCACTCTTGAGAGCGGATAGTCTGATCGTGGTAGACATACTTAGATCCACAAAGGCTGCGGTCACACGGAGCATTAGACACGCTACAGAGACGGACGATAGGCGGATTTTCCGGGCGCGATCACAGCGCCACATCTGGGAAGCGTAGAGCTCCCGTGGCGAACCCGAGGCTTCCCGCCGAAGATGCGGGGTAAAAAACTAGTACCTCTGAGGTACTAGTTTCTGGAAACCGCTCCACGGGATGCGCACAAGCACCCAACGGCGCATGCGCAAACTTTGTTTAAAAACAAACAACGCAGCCCCCTCTTTTCCGTACCCCCCCACTCCTGGCTCGGCCTGCTCTAGAGGAACTCTCTGCACCGGGCGGCAAAGGGGGAGGTGTAGGGGGGGGTGTGGCGGGAGGGCGGCCCGGCTGAAGCTCCTCCTGGAGGGGACCGGATGGAGGATACAGTTTGCATTCCTCTGGAGCCCTGGAAGGGATTAAACCCGCAGAGGCTTTTGCTAGAGAGGCCGCTTCTTTGCCGCGCCGCAGGATTGTCCTGTGATCGGCACCTCCCCCTTAACCACGGGACCTCGACGGGACAAGGACTGTATATCAGTATTGAAGTATTTTATGGTTACATATTTTATTCTGTTGTGTTGATTTTATATGCTTAAGACATCTGGTTGAAAGAGCTTATTAGTGAAAGGACCAAAATGGGGGAGGAAAAGCACTTGTTGGTTTTGAAAATGGCAGACGAGGATATTGCAGAATAAATGAAAACAATTTGTGAAGGGGAGGGCACTCTGGCAGTGGTTTTTTGAGATGAGAACCGAAGTGTTGCAAGCATGTCCCTGCTTTGTGAAAGAAGCGTTTTACTTTGTCCTGGCTTTTGTCCTGACGTTTAACATCCAATCTGAAGAAGCTTTCTAGTGAGTCTGAAAGCTTGCTCATTCCTTTGTGAATTTCCACATTGCCATAAGAAAAGTATTTCTGCAAATGTACATTCTCATGGACTCACAATGCCCCCACAGTTCTTGTGGTTGATTTCAATCCAGTTTGCCGTCTACCTTTGTACTTCTGCCTCCTGCAGGTCAGACCTGGTATGACGGCTGCCGGCAGCAACTGGAAGTGGAATCCAGTTGTGCGCAGTGACCTCGTAGCACGGGGTTTCCATTCATGCAATGTGCTGCGAGGGAAGCTCCTCATCTTTGGTGGCCTGAAGTCACCAGACACCACCCAGGAGCCACCCCTGGGGGATGTGGTGGCTTTTGACCCAGCTCTCCAGACCGTTCAAACAATCACTCCTGAATGCGGCTACCGGCGCAGCCACCACGAGGCTGTGGTCCTGGCTGATCGTTGGCTGTGCGTGGTGGGAGGCTGGGATGGCTCCCGAAGGGTCTCAGATGTGTGTGGCTTTGACTCTGAGCAGGCGCAGTGGGAACGCTGGACCGAGGGATCCTCCAACGAGTCTCCCGTGGGGCTGAGCAGCCACACCTGTACCAAGCTATCGGACCATGAGGTGCGGGTGGTGGGCCGTGAAGGTGGGCTGCGTACGCAGAGGCGCTATGCCAGCATCTACACATTACATATCAACCCTGCAACCAAGACTTACCGGTATGTCATGTATTTATTTATAAGCCATGTATCCTGCTTCTCTATAAAGCATACCCAAGCCTGCTTATGAGATGAGTGATAATAGTGTAATCTGAAACCAATGAAATCACTCTCCAATAATAAACCTGCAGCTGCCTGGGGCGGGGGTGATGGAAGTTAAGCCGGTTTACGCATCTTTGTAACATCACTCTACTTGCTAGGTACAGAGAAGAAGAATCTCGCACAGCCTCACGCGCTGGCCACTCTGCAATGCTGCTGCGCGAGACCAGCTCCAGTGGAAAGAGCAGCGGATACAAGCTTGTGGTGTTTGGCGGACGTGACTCTGCTGACTTTGACGTGGCTGGACACTGGGGAAAGGGGAAAATCCATGTGAGTACATGCATACGGAGGTGGGGTCCTGGATATGGCCAGCGCAAAGATTTGGCTCGAGCAGACAACCTTGGGTGCAAGAAGCTAATTCAGATGGGAAAAGTGAGGTGGCTCCCCATAGAAACTCTCACTTCCCACCCCAAACAAGTCTTCCCAGCTGGCTGTCGCCTGCAGCACTCTGGGAAGAGCTACAAGGTGACAGCTCCTACCCCACGGTAGGAACAGGAGTTGTAAAAGGAAATGCTTCTTTACAGAGACAGTGATGAAAACTTACTGGAATTTGCTGCCTGAGGATGTAGTGGTGGGCACAGGCATAGACGACTTTAAAAGGGGATTAGATAGATGCATGGAGGATAGGTCTATCAATGGCTACTAGCCATGGTGACTAAAGGGAACCTCCGTGTTCAGAGGCACTAAAACCTCTGAATCCCAGGGCCAGGAGGTAACATCAGGGGAAAGCCTTGGCCTCTATGCCCTGTTGTTGGCCTTCCAGGGGAACTGGTTGGCCGCTGTGAGAAACAGGATGCTGGATTATGTGGACCACTGGTCTGATCCAGCAGGGCTCTTCTGATGTCTTGGTGATAACAGGAATCAACTTGGTAAGTTGGAGGCCTTGACATGAGAAAGCTGAAGCCACATTTCTGGCTGGTGGTAGTGTACCCATGAATATTTCTTAGGAATAAGGTTGCTGGTAAGACCCGTTTTCATGCCAGCAATCACTGCCTCTGCTTTGTCTTCTATGTGCCATATCCATTTAATGTTAACGTCTTCCACTGACTTAAGACCCTGGAGGATTTTTCTAAAGAAGTAGACATCATTGCTTTATAATTTCAAAACAGACCTGAGCCGTTGTGGAGTATGAATTGGCAGGTGATGCATTGCAGGACACTTCTGTGTCCATGCATATTCCTTGAAGTCAGAGATGATGAATCCATTCCACTCTCGTGATTCAGAGACCTTCTGAGGGAACTGACCCCTGAAAAATGACTATGTCAGCAGTGCATGCTGACAAGACAAAAACAAGGACAAAAAGAGACAATCCCATATCAAGGGCAAATACTAGAAAACAGGCACTATCCCTGATCAACATATGTAGCAGTTCAAATGAATATGTGTGGGTCTGTCTTTCTTTTAAACATAACTTTAAAAGTATGGTTGCTACTCTTTGGTCTCAAGCCTCCCTAGCTCCCTGAGGACCTCCTCTAGCAATTCCCCCATCCTATTTCTTTCAACCCACTTGGCTTCTGTTTCAGCTACACCTGCTGGTAGCCCCCTGCCTTTAGTGCTATGAAAGTCTATAATCCTAAAGGAGTCCCTCCAGTTCTGTAGCAGCCTCCTCATAAGTTTCCCACCCCATTTTCCTCCCCAGGTTGATTCTGTCCACGCTCCTGAGCTGACGGAGCAGATCAGTTGTTTGGTCAGCACCGAAAAGGGATCCCGGCAGGCACCCAAAGGCTTGCGGCACCAGTCCTGCACCATGGTAGGGCCTTTTGCCATCATCTTTGGAGGGGAGACGTTATCCAGAGGCAGGGATGCCGTTTGCAACGACCTCTACGTCCATGATACACGTAAGGGAGGGTTTCTTCTTTGAAGTTGACTTATACTGAAACAAACTGTAGGTCGATCAGTAGCATCTACTCAGACTCGCAGCAGCTCTCCAGGGTCTCACGTAGAGGTCTTTTCCATCACTTACTACCTGATTCCTTTTTAACTGGAGATTAACCAGGGATCTTCTGCAACAAAGGAGGCACATTCAGCGCATGCAGCCACAGGGTGTCCAAGTGATTCTCACAATTCCCCCAAAAGGTGATTGCACAATACATGACAAGCAATAAATGCTATTTATTTTTTCCAGTGGGTAGTTTTTCCATGATTTCTGTCTATCGCCACAGCTCCTGTAGAAATACTGCAGATCCTGTAGCAGGCAAAATTAGAAAAGCATAGTCCAGTGGGACTTTAGACCTCCCCCCTCCCAACAACAGTCTGCTTGGTTTCATACTGCAAACTGCTTCTCAAACTCATTTCAAAAGTGATTCTTTATGCATTCCCAACTTAACAGTTTAGAACACCCTTCTATAGTCTTCACCTAAGAGCTTCCTTTACACCCAGCTAGGCGGGGCAATAGAGTAGGAAAGGCGATCCTCTTCCATGAATCTCAAAGATGCCTACTTTCTGCACATTCAGGGACTTCACCAGGAACCTGGTACCACTTCCCTGGTTCTGATCGAGCCCAGAAGAGAGTTGGTCATCGCACCTGCCTTTGGAACGACAAGCTCTACCTCATCGGGGGATTTGGGGCTGATGGCAAGACACCCCGCCCAGAGATCTGCGCTTTAGAGATCTCTGTGTGAAGACAAGGAGCCCATTCTGTTCAAGTGAGCCTCTGATCTCAAGTCTGCCAAAGAGCATCCCTACCTCAGTGGGGGAAGGTTGTCCTTTGTTTACGGTAAAAAAAAGGCCCCCCCCCCCCGCTTGTCAAACAAGCTTCTCTGGTCTTTCCACAGGGAAATGGGGAGCAGGGCTGATCAAAATCGTTGACATTACAAAGAAAATGCCTCGGCTTAAGGGGAAAAACAATTTCAAATTTAGGAAGAAAGTTTTATCAAGTTGAAGGCTTGCTCTCTGCAGCTTTGTAAAATCTAAAACTGATCCACATGGGAAAGACATATGTGAACAGCCTCAATGCCGTGGGTGTGGAGATCACAGGAAATTGTGTGCCAGCTAACACAAACTCCACATGAAAAAAAGCTGAAATCTATCTACATTATGTACACACGTGTGATTTCACTTGGTTTTAGGGCTATCGTCCATTTAAAAGAACTCTTAGCCACATGAATGGGTTTTCATCAATTAATGGTATATGAACGATTTGAAGGGGAAAAAAGCAGTTTCTAGGTAAGACATTATCTTACAGGAAGATGGGTAGCCGTGTTAGCCTGTCTGTAGCAGTAGAAAAAAGCAAGAGTCCATTAGCACTTTAAAGACTAACAAAATTTCTTGCAGGGTAGGAGCTTTCATGAGTTATCTGAATAGTTATAAAGTATCTGAAGAAATGAGCACTGACTCACAAAAGCCTGCTACAAATTGTGTTAGTCTTTAAGGTGCTACTGGACTCTTCCTCTTTCCTACTATCTTACAGCAAACGTCACCGAAGAGACATTCCCTCCTGTGAGAGAAAAGGTAGAATGCCTCTAAGACAGACTTCATTTGTAAAGATCATGTTTTTTTTAATGTACACTAAATGTGCTGTCTGATTAATTGGGCATACTTTTTTTTAGTCTATCAAAATTTGCTCAATAGGTTACTGCAACCATTGACCAATCATCAAGGCCTTCGTTTTGCTCAATTTCATGGAATAATTTTAAAAGCTATGCAAGTGTCTTGGCAAGTGACAGAACAAAGAGGCACACAAAAACCCTGCCATTCATGTGCAGTAACTATCTTTGCCATTATAAGGACTATAAGCTTTTTTTGCAATGAAGCAGAGATTGAGAAAATGGAAACCCAACCATCAGGTTACTCTAATTCTGTGCTCATGCAAAACTGTCACATATGCACAGCTTTACTTACACGGAATAAGCCCACAGTTTCCCCAGCCTGGTATTTTGTCAGTTTTCTGCCAGTGAGAGAAGTTTCCCGGATCAGCTACAGAGATCCTTTTACACCACAGTTGCCCTAGATTCAACTTGGGACTTTACAGACCTTCTGCTCTACCACTGAACAAGGGAGAGAAGGTGATCCAGTACCACTGCCCACCGTCACACCAAAGCAAGTGACGCACAAAAACTGTTTATTTTAACAAAAATACTGTAAAGAGAGGACACCAAAATAATAATAACAATAATAATATTAAAGTTAAGCCTTTGAGATCAGGAACTGCAACTCTGGAGCGAGAGGTGGAAAGTCCTTAGAGAGCAAGCCCCTCTTCTCCCTAGGAGACCAAGACCCCTGCAGAGCTGGCTTTGGCGCCTGCCCCCTCAGGACTTTCCTTGGAAGGAGCTTTCTGGTCATCCTCGCCCATCAGACGGATGTTGTGTTTTTCCCGGAATTCATTCAGCTCCCGGCCTTTTGTCTGCAGCTGCTGGCTCAGTGTCTCTATGATCTTGCTGATCTGTGCAGGGAAGCAGAGCAGGGAAAATGGGTCAGGGCGAGCAGCTGGACAGGTGAAGAGCTCTCTGCAGGAATGGCAGAGAGGAGACTCCCCACTTCCAGTACCCTCCATCGAGGGAGAACGCTGGGAGCATTTTGCATGTTTCACTGACAGGTGGCGTGGCAAGCCTTCAATTTTGCCGGATTCGCACACTTAGCCTTGTGTGACTATTTATGATCCCAGATGGGGGTGGAGCTCATGGGGATATCATTCATCGAGGAGACAGAAGGAATCATGTGTTGGCTGAAATTGACACGACCCTTCATTTGTGCTTCTGTGCTGCCACAAAACGGCCCCCTGTTTTAACATGTGTCTGCCAGGCATTGTGTGAGTGGGGATCACAAAGACACCCTTCCACACGTTAAGTCTTAAAAATGTGCACTGGGAGTATTACATATCATATCTGTGTTACAGAAATATTTATTTATATTTATTTATTATATTTGTATCCCACCCTCCCCGCTTTCGGAGGGCTCAGGGCGGCTAACAACATAAGTATAGATAGATACATTAAAACTCCAATACGTATACTAAAACCAACATTCCATTAAAATTACAATATAAACTACAAATACACTGCACATAGCTATAACACAGATGACGACAAATAAGTGGTAGCAAGGAAAGTTACAAGTGAGAAGACACGAATCACTGGAAAAGACAATAATGCTAATAAGAAAAGTAGAACCAACATGAGATGGATTGGGCTCTATAAAGGAAGCCACAGCCACCCATTTACAAGACCTGAGCAAGGCCGTCAATGATAGGTTGTTTTGGAGGTCATTATTTCATAGGGTTGCAAAAATCAGAAGCGACTTGATGGCACTTAACACACACACACATTCCAAGCAGAGGTCATTTCGCGGGGGATCGCAGTTCCCCCGGGGTGAGGTACGGGGGGTGGGGCTTGACAAAGCCCCGCCCCCTGCTTCCGGCCGCCCCGCTTCTGGCCCTCATTCAGCCAGGAGGAGACAGGAGAAGATGGAGGGTAAGTTGCTTCCTCCATGCCTCTCCCCACCCCTGCCTGCCTGGGGCCAGGGAGGGCCTTCGCGGGACTTCCTTGCACTCCCGCCGGCCTTGCAGGTCCACCGCCAGGCCCCTCATGGGGCTCGGCAGTGGAGCTACAAGGCCGGCGGTGGCGGCCGGGACCGTTGGGGGCGGGGTATGTGGCCTTATGACACACTTCCAGTGATGTCAGGGGGTGTGGCCTTATGACACACTTCCGGTGATGTCAGGGGTGTGGCATATGCTAATGAGTTATGCTAATGAGTTCCCCTAGCTCTTGTTCTACGAAACGACCCCTGGTTACAAGTGTGCCATTCTTTATGGTCAGTTTGAAAATGGGCACTCATTCCATTGCCTCTGGCAACTACCAATCACCAGTAGGGGACCAGGTGGAAAGTTCTTGGCAGTTGGAAGAGGGGAGAGGCTAACAACTTCTTAGTCTAAGGGAGATGCACGAAATCTGAAACCTTCCTACTTTGAACAGAGACGTTACCTGCTCTTTGTTGTTTTCTAAGGCGGGAAGAACCTCCTTGACAGTGCGTTCCACTAACACTCCCCCCACCATCCGGTAGCACTTCCTAGTAGGGTCCACCTCCCGGAGAGTTTCAAGGACCAACCTGTGAGGAGAAAGAAATGTGGAAGATCAGTGCATCCTGCACCAGCGTGCAATAAAGACACCCCCTCACTCTAGAAATCCACCCAGCTAAGAGCCATGCCTGTCAGGAGCCCTCAAGCCACAGAGGAAAGCATTTCTGCTTAATGCCCTACAGCCAAAAGAAGGCTGCATCACTCACTGCTTTTCTATCACACAGTAAAGGCTGCAAGGTGGCACCTGAGATACATGTTAGGGTCACTAGGTATATTTTGAGAAGTTAACTTTTATTTATGGGGTTTACAGCCTGCATTTACGAAATAAAATTTCAAGAAAATTTTAAGAAACAATAAAGAACATCAACATCCAAAGAAATGGTGAAATTAAAAAAATTATGCGAATGACTGGGAAAAGTCTATCACCTCATCACCCAAACCTAGAGACTAACTTCCAGAAGCTAACAGGAAGGAAAAAGCTTCCCTCTTCTACTGCAGAGAGAGGCTTAAGTGCACAGCCAGGCAGGGCACTTGAAAGCAGCAACAGAGAAGGTCCTGTTTCTTGCAGAGAAGCTGGTACTTGAGGAGGGACGTTTCCTGCTGATCTCTGGCCATGTGTGTATGCTAGTTTTGTACAAGAGCCAACATCCCCCAAGACGTGCAGGGCCCAGACTCTGCATGCAGCAGAATGAGATGGAGGCAAAGCCCAGAGGGGACAGAATAGAGAATATTGTTTTAGACTATGGGTGTGGGATCATATTTCTGAAAGTCTGCAGGTGTTAACAGAAAGTCTCCCTGCAAGCAGAAAACTAGCAAAGCGGGAATCTGGCTGGGTCTCAACCTCTCTCCCAAATGTGCTGTTGGTGGGAACAGAGCATGCTTCCCCACCTCATCTCCCACTGCAGCATTACCGCCCACTAGACCACCTCACTCTGGTACAGAGGCAGACCAGTATTCAAAGGATCGCAACAAATCCATGTAGAAGAAGAAGAGAAGAGATTGGATTTATACCCCGCCCTTCACTACCCAAAGGTGTCTCAGAGCGGCTTACAAACTCCTTTCCCTTCCCCTCCCCACAACAGACACCCTGTGAGGTAGGTGGGGCTGAGAGATCTCTGGCAGAAACTGCCCTTTTTTCAAGAACAGCTCTTATCAGAGCTATGGCTTGCCCAAGGTCATCCAGCCAGGTGCAAGTGGAGGAGTGGGGAATCAAACCCGGTTCTCCCAGATTAGAGTCCGCGCACTTAACCACTACACCAAACCGCACACTTAACCACTACACAGTACAAACTGCGAAGAACACCTATACTTTTAAAATCCCTGCCCAATGCATACTTGTGTTCGTTCAGCTCCATCTCCAGCTCAGCTGCCTTGGAGGCCAGGCCGCGCTGTTCCTGACGCAGGCGGTTAAATCCAGCCACCACCTGTAAGGAGAAAACAATCAGCTGCAGGCCGCTGGATTAAAACACCCCTCCCCCACTCAAAGCGGCAACTCAGTTTAATCAAGCAAGAGCTGTTTTTCTTACATTGGTCCTTCCTATCCCCGCCTGCTGTTTCTTTCTACCATCAAACTTCATGATCTCTGTGGGCTAGCAAACCTGGCTTAATTGTACTGATATTGCTGATTAGCTTGCTTGACACTGGTGTGAGTCCTCCACATCAGCCAAAGAGAAGGATTAGGTTTGTGGGTCCTTGGAACAACTGTCCACTGCCTTGTCTCATGGTCCCTTGTCTTTCCCTTCATAATCCACACAGGGATGACGTGTTGGGTGTTTGACGGTTTCAAACACCAACTGCATGCAGTCAGACCTTTTTCTCCACCTGTTTCTAAACTGTTGCACTTCTGGTTCCATTCAGATGATATTGTCCTATTAATATCCTTTTCCCAGAATGAAGTTTGAGTCCAGTGGCACCTTTAAGACCAACAACATTTTATTCAACAGCTATAAGCGTTTGTGTGCATGCATACTTCTTCAGATACAATGAAATGGACATTACCAGTGCATATGTTCCCTCTAAGCTGTGGAGTCTTGTGAGCAAAAATTCTACTTTGTGAGCTACTGGCATTAAAGTTGTGAGCGAGCGATTTGGCTGCTGCATGAATTACTTTGCTCTGGAACCCTCCTTCCTGAGCTAAGACAAAAATGTGTCAGCCGGAAGCTAAAAAACTGTGAGCTAGCTCTAGAGATGTAAAATTTCTGGAAATTTTGAAGCTCGGAAAAAAACCCGTTTTTTCCCAGTTTTTTTCGGAAAAAACGCAAATTTTCGGAAAACTTGGAAAAAATGCTACATTAGCACTTCTTTTCTTTTTTCTAGATTGAAAGTCATTCTGTTACTTTAGGAACATAAAACATGACTATGGACATTTTTACTTGGCATGAAATTATCACAACTAGCATATTAAAAATATAGTGTATCCAAACAGTTATTACAAACAGAATACCTGCCCACATGCAAAAACAAAACTGAAACCTTTTTCTTTTCTCGTGACAATAGCACCTCCTAAAGGAAGAAATGCATCTTGTTCTTGCATTGGAGAGTTCAGTTTGTAACCTAGGACTTGCTTGTTCTCAGTGCACAGAAATTAGATCAATCTGATACCATATATATATATTTTAGAAATGATTTAGAAAATATTTGAACACCTTGTCTTAAAATATTTTATTCATCATGTTAAAATAAAACGTTCCATAATCAATTTTTTTCTTTTCTTTTTTCAATTTTTCCAATTTTTCGGAAAAAAACAAAAAGGCTTCAGGAAAAAAATGGGGAAAAATGGTTTTTTTTCCAAATTTTTCCGGGCCTTCACATCTCTAGCTAGTTCACACTAACTCAGCTTAGAGGGAACACTGTGAGCAGTAAATTAGCATACAGCATGCTAAAGATGTCTAACACATTCAAGGACCAAACAGGAATAACAAGCTTAGTTTATATGGTTACCATTTGTTTGGATTTAATTCCGGGGTTGAAAACATAGTGAAGAAAATAAATATGTCAAAACTGGAGATTGATGAGCAGATGTATCCTTAATGGTGGAATGCTGAGAGTAATTAACTGGGGTGCTGTCATTACGCTCCAACCAACTCCTCTCAAGCATGGAGGCAACCTTACAGTATCTTTTTCTATGAAGTGGGGCAACTGGCTGTATAAAGTTATCTCCCCTGTCCCCAGACCAAAGAAATACATTCCAATCTACCATTCCAAATTACATTACATTCTACTATTCATTATGTTACATTACAATCTAGTATTCTAATCTATTATTCCAATCCAAATAAGAAATAAAATACAATAAAGAGGATATATGGCCCCTCTGGGGAATTGGTGAGAATACAGTTGTAAGGGCTGAATGGGGTTAGCATATGTAGTGAGATAAAGAAGTATGGACCGGTAATTTCCATTTCATTGTATCTGAAGAAATGTGCGTGCACATGAAAGCTTATACCTTGAATAAAGCTTTGTTGATCTTAAAGGTGCCACTGGACTCAGACTTTGTTCTGCTGCTTCAGACCAACATGGCTGCCCACCTGAATCTACCCTTTTCCCAGGCATTCTCTATTCCCAGTATGTTCTCTCTCAAACCTGATCAGTATGATCCAGAAAGAACACCAATCCAAGCATGCTAGCAAGCTATCTGAACAGGAAGGTGTGCATTTTCAAAGGTCTTGCCCACATCAGCGCCATTTTCCCTCCATCAGCCCCTAGTGAAATCCATTTTCCCTGCTGCACTACCAAAGGGCTTTAAAAAAAAACACCCGACCACAGGCAATTACTATTCCACTACAGTGCAATAACATTATGACAATCTAGTGTCACAGTCTACTAGTTCCTCTGAATTCCTTTAATCATCTTTTAATGACAACTGGGAATTCAGAGACCCTAGTTGCTCATGGCAACAGATAGTCATGATTTTTTAAAAGTCCTCCAGTACCATGGCAGGGTGAAAATCCAGGAAAAATCGCAGCTGACCAAGAAAAGACTGCACAAAACTACTGTGTGGATGCTACAATGTCATTGTGCAGTCACAACCATGATAAAAAGCAGTATTCTCACAGGATAGATGCAACTCTTGTCAACCATCCAGTTAACAGACCACCATATGACTGCAGCAAAATACTCCAAAAAGATGAGAAACGTGGAAAGTTTCCCTTATCGTTTCATTCCGACCAAACCTTTTCTCAATTGACCCAAAAGCCAACCCAATCCTTCCAGCTTCAGAGTGCTTTCTCTCTACCCACATCCTCCTCACCTTCTTAAAGCCTTACGTAGCCTCAGTTTTGCTACTGATCCTTATTTCACAGTACAGAGTTAAAGCTAATTTAGTTGCTACTTGAAGATGCTTGCAGTGTCCAGAGATGCTCACCACTTTATCATAGCTTCAAAAAAATACCAGCAAGGACTGCTATTTACAACAGATACTCAGCTTTGCTCACACTCAGAGGACCTCTTTTTTCCTGCATTTAAACCTTCCCAGAAACAGAAAAACAAATAACTAGCTAAATGTGCTGGCTCAATGTTAACACATATCCCTTCAACACAACCTCATTCCTTCAAAAATAATTCAAAATAAATTCAGGCTTACATGACACCACACAGCCTCCACTCCTTTTCTCAAATACCTCACCTATCCCATGGCTATCCAAAACTGGTCTTTCCAATCCTGCAAAGACCCTACTGCAACCCCTTCTCCCCGATTTCAAAGCCAGGCGCTGCAGAACGACCTTGATTACATCATACTCAACACTCTGGACATGCCCAAAGGCACTCCCGTCTTTCCTCTGAAGACACAGCTAAGCAACACTATCGAAGGACTTGGTTTATATTGGATCTTGTGTACCACACACAGGGAAAAAGCCATGATTTATGCCACGCCTCGCACTCTGTCCATGGCCAGAGGCACCCCACCCCATCCCATGGCTTCCCCAAGCCTACCACCTCCCTTTGCCTTTTCCCTCTGCTTCGCCTGCTCAGTTCAGCACCTGCTCTGCTGTCAGGGGCTTGGCAGCACCTCCAGCCGCGGTACCACCTCCCCCACCGGAAGGAGCCGCCGGGCCGCTTTTGCTCTTGCCGCTCTCCGCCATTTTCCCTCCTAGCGTAAGAGAGAAAGAAACACACAGAACGAACTTAACGGATCTCGAACTTCCGGGGGTTGGAGACCACGAGAGCCCTCGTGACCGGAAGTCTCGTTTTCTGCGTCCCTCACGAATTCACTTCCGGGCCACGATCTCCGGTCTCATAATTTCCCCCTTTTACATCCTTAGAAGGAACACCTGCGAAGTTCTGATTCCCCCGATACCTGCTCTTAATGTTCCCCATCAATTCAGGCGCCATCTTTGTTAAGGGCGTTTAGTGAAGAATTATGCTCTCTAGGTTACTAAAGAGCGAAAATAAGTAAACAGAAATGGTCAAGAAGAAACCTGACACCGATTATGGTAACCCTTTCCTCTCTCGTTAAGATCTATCGTCGCCATTTTTGTTGAGGGTATAGCTTTTTTTCCCTTTTCGACTGCCATCTTTGTTCCGGACTGTGGTTGCCTTGCGTCGCCATCTTAGCTAAGGGACCCCATGTAGTCTATGGCATAGAGTGCTCTATCGGCCATTTTTGTTACGGATGACTTTGACTAGGAAGAGCCATCTTTGTTAGAGGCACTGACCGACTTCCTGCTTGGACTTTTGATCCTGGTCTTGGGGGCGTTCTCACCCGCTTCCGATTTTCTACTCATGTACGCATGGGGGGAAGAGGGAGAAGGGTCGGTATGTGGGTGAAGGAAAAGCGTTGCTTGGTTTTAATAGGATAGAATTTTGGGATATGGGGACGGGGGGGGGGGGGCGGGACGGAGCGTGACACTATTGGGGGTCGGGCAGGAGGGGAATGTGATTGAAGACAAACTTCTGGTTGTTATTAGCCTGAAGGGACTCAACGTGACGAGGGGAGAGAGAAAGCTCAAGTCGGGAGCAGGCTCAGGAGAACGCAGGGCCGAGAGAACTGGGTTGCTGTTCTGTGGAACTCCTTGCCACTGGATGCTGAATGAGGGGGTGCTTTAGCTGCCAGCTTTCAATGGTTTATTTTCACCTTTGACAATAGCCCAATGCACAGAAACGCAGCTGGTAATGTTTCTTCCCACCCTGTATCTAGGTTAATCTTGCCTACATTGTCCTTTCCTGGAATGCTTAGAGAAACGGGAGGTTTAAATGCAGCCTCAATTGCTTGTGCCACCTCATTGGCTGGGTTATAATGCCTTTTCTTAACTGTGACCTCTAACAAAATGTGAATCAGAATGTTTTCCACTGCCCGAAATTGAGCAAGTTCTGATTTAGCATATCAAATTTTGACTTTAAAATTTAAAAGTAACCCAGCTTAGTTTTATGCCCACAAGCAAAAAAAAATAAATTTGAACTGAAATATTTGATCCAGGAGGTAGGGAATTAAGTGTGGGTGAAACGTTCAAACAAAATCAAAATTTAAATTGGGAGACTGGGTGCAAATGTTTAAAAACCATATAGATCTCTTTACATTGGTTAAATATAAAACCCAACTCCCACAGGCACTGAAAACTGTTGGCACACTGATAGTGCCATCTTACGCAGAGTAACTGCAGTTTAAGCCCATTGATTGCAATGGGCTTAGTTTTCATAGGATAGCCCAGGTTAGCATAACCTCGTCAGATCTCAGATGCTAAGTAGAGTCAGCCCTGGTTAGTACTTGGATGGGAGAAGTACTTGGATTCATCAAAGAAGTCCAGACTTGATTTGCAGAGGCAGACAATGGCAAACCATCTCTAATCATCCCTTGCCTTGAAAAACTCAAGGATTCACCATAAGTCAACTACGACTTAAGGGCAATTCCCACCACCGTTCTTCATAGGATTGACCTGTACTTCCAGCATGCCTAAAGATTGGTGCATGCTGTTAATGTGGTTGTCCACTCATCTCTTTCAAAAGAAACCCTTCCACAGAGGCCACTGGGAGACACTAGGCTCACTGTCGCTCTCCACTGCATTATTTAGTTCCATATCCATGCATATAAATACACATTTTAGCTTTGAAACAAGGTTATAGTCCGGTGACACCTTTATGACCAACAAAACATGGCTACCCACCGGAATCCATTTTAACTTCGGTTTTGACTTGACCTGCACAGCCAATCAGTGGATTCATGACTGGGTTTTCTAAATCTGGATATGTATTTGTGGTTCCCCCCATCCCAGTGTACAATAACACACACTTAATCCCTAGGAGTAAGTAGGAGGGTATCACCTGAAAACATTAATTACAGCTTTGAAACGGCTCACTTGGTATTATCTTGGCAATGGCACCTGTTCATTGATGCTTGTTTTAGGGAGCAGTAGATCTTTAGAAATGGAAGATGTTCCACAGAAACATATGGTGCTGGAAAACCTTCCATTCTGTAACAGTTTCCACCCCACAGCCCTGCTGTTTGCCCATGCAGCTCTTTGGATCCAGTCTTGACTGCAGGCTGTTTGCCCAGAAGCCTTGAAAGACCACCAGATTTCTCATCTTGTCTGTTTTAGGCTGAGAAGAGCAGTCCAGAAACCTCTGCAAACCTATCTGGAGAGCTTCTTCCTCCCCAGGCCCTGGAAGCAATATTGGCAGATCAAAAGCCAGACACCTGCCCACAGGTAATTAGCCATGGATATGCTCAGGGCCAGTGTTCCCTCTAAGCTGAGTTAGTGTGAGCTAGCTCACAGTTTTTTAGCCTCCAGCTCACACATTTTTGTCTTCGCTCAGGAAGGAGGGCTCCAGAGCAACCTGATTTATGCAATAGCCAAATGGCTTGCTCAAATTTTAATGCCAGTAACTCACAAAGTGGACTTTTTGCTCACAAGACTCCACAGCTTAGGGGGAACATTGCTCAGGGCCCAGATTCAGTAGCTGCAAATACTGATCAGATTCAGTAGCTGCAAATACTGATCAGTAGCTCCGTTTCCACCCCGTCTCTCCTCAAAATATTCCTGTGAGGCTGAAAAGTAATTCATGAGTGTCAGACTAGGATCTGGGTGATTCCAGGTTCGAGTCCCCACTCTGCCACGGAAGACTGCTGGGTAAACCTTGGCTGGTTACACGCTCTCAGCCTAACCTACTTCACAGGGTTGTTGTTAGGATAAAATGGAGGAAAGGAGTATGCTGTTAAGTGACTTTGGGTCCCCTTTGGGAAGAAAAAGGGTATAAATGAAGTAAATAAATAAAAATGTTTGAACTCAGAATATAGCTATTTTGCGTTTTCACAGGTCTTAGCCACCAATTGGGGGTGGGAGTCTTGGGCATGTATTTTCTTATACCAACTACACTGTAACTGGTGGGAGATTAATTTAAAATATCTGATTTAACTATGTTGTTCCAGAGCAACCACTTGAATCCTTTGATGCTTGTTTTAGGAAGCAGTGGATAGTTAGATAGAAAACCCTGTCTGCCTACTGTTCACTTTCTCAGACTCTCTGCTGCCCCCTGTGGATTCAGAGTCATGTCTACAGGCACCGGAACCCTGAAGCCTCTCATTGCTGTCTGCCAGGTGACCTCAATCCCCAACAAAGACCATAACCAGGAATGCTGCTCACGCCTCATCCGGGAGGCAGCCCAGCGGGGCGCCTGTGTGGTCTTCCTCCCTGAAGCCTTTGATTTCATTGGCAGCAACACAGAAGAGACCCTCAGCCTGGCTGAGCCCCTGGAAGGAGATCTCATCCGGTATTACGCTAGCCTAGCCAGGTAGGGTTCCTGGGATTTCCCAGCAAGGAAAGAGCTTGCAGGGGCTCATCTGTGTTCTGTGGGTGCAGTCATGCTGGGAAGTAAAGAGAGTGGCAGGGTGGTGGGAGCATGCAGCATGGGCCATCCGGTTGCTCACCCAGTGTCCTGCCGCTGAGGGTGGAGGGGCAGCTGCCGCATCTTCCAGCCACTGCACTTTCCAGAGCCATGCTTGTAAAATATGTCTAGTATTTCCTTAGCCTTCTCTTCCTCCAAGGAGCTAAGGGTAGCATATGCGGTTTTCCCCTTCCTCCTTAACTAACAACTGCAAGGTAAGCTAGGCGGAAGGAGCCTGAGTGGCCCCAGGTCAGCTGCCAAGTTTCATGGCCGTGTGATGATCTAGATCCAGATCTCCCAGAGCAGAGTCCAGCATCCTAGTGGCTACTGTGCGCTGAGTCTGTGTATTGGAACGATTGGTCCTGAAGTAAGGGGAGGCTTCGCTCCACTCCAAATATAGCCAGGTTCTGTATTCTAAGGCCTTCTTGGGTCCAGATGTGCATTTGTGCACACTGTCCTGAAACTTCTGTAGGAACATCTTTGACTTTAGGAGGGGCCCTACTTGGCATGCAGAAGGTCCCAGGCTCAACCCCTGACAGCTTCCCAGCTGCACCCTCATGAGAGCCTTTTAACAGGAAATGTGATTAGATCCAGACTAATGTTCCTCAGGCACAAGGCCCTGGAAATCATGTTCCTAGGAAAGGGGACCCCCAAGAAGAGAATTTCAGGTGACATTTTGGAAGGGCAAGGGAGGGGGGGAAATAGAGACAAAAGTTTTTTGAAATTATTGTATGGCATTGTGTGTGAAAAAGCCAGACGATCCCAAGGGGCAGGGAGTGTTTGGCTGCTGAAACTGTAGCTCTTTTTTGGCACCACTAGGTGGCGAGCTATGCTTATTTTAAGACTGAGAGTGCTGTGACTTGCCTAAGGTCACCCAGCTAGCTTCAAGCGAGGAAGAGGGGAATTGAACTTGGTTCTCCAGATTAGAGCCCGCTGTTCATAACCACTGCACCAAACACTTAGCCTGGATCCAAGTCATACCTTTGATTCATCTAGCCTGGTAGTTTTTACTCTCATCTCAAGAATGTTCATGTTAGGGGACTTGCCAGCCATTACGTCTCTTTTATACTCTAAGGCAGGGGTCCCCAACACGTTGCCCTTGGGCTCCATGGCACGCCCCAAGTGTTTCTAGAAAGTACACGGGGCCAGGTGGGGCTTTTGCCCAGCAAGACTTTTGATTGGCCATTGGAAATTTCATTGGCTGTGCAGATTTTTTAAAACGCTGCTTCAGCAACAGCTGTCACCATAGCACACAGATCTTCACTGTGTGACTGAAGTTATGTTGTGGCAATCATTTTGTGGCTGGCTCTGCCTCCTGTGGCAGCCATTCTGTAGCTGTGCCCACCACGCCCTGTCAGAACTCCAAAGGGGCCCACAGGTGTTAAAATGTTGGGGATCTGTGCTCTAAGGCTGCAGTGAGAACAGCATGTGCTCAGATCCTTCCCACCCCACCCCCCACGGTTTCTTCTGTTTCCCGTCTCCTCTGCCAGAGAATGTGGGGTCTGGTTGTCCCTTGGAGGCTTCCATGAGAGAGGCAGCGACTGGGAGAGCACGCACCGGATCTACAACTGCCATCTGCTCCTGGACACCAAAGGTGAGAAGGCTTCCTTGGTACTGGATCCTTTTCCCCCAAGTTGGTCAAGTCTTCTTAAGCCTACATTTCTGGAATGTGGGACCAGTGTTTCCTCTCTAAACTTCCTGTGTCTTCCTTTTGTCCTTCTCCAGAATCTTCTCCCAGTACTGCACACATGCACCTCTTTGCTGTGTACCTAAGGAACTGGGTCTTGGGGCACTTATCCAATACTGGCATTAGAGGGAAACCAGAGTGGGACATGAGATTTCCCTCCTCATAGCCAGCCAGGCAAGGAGGAAGCCACGGCAGTGGACTGATATCCTCTCGTACCGAGGATACGGGTCTGGGGGGAGTTGAGCTTCTGGTAGTGGGTGATTTGATCATTAGAAATATAGAATGGGGTCTGTGACAGGTGTTTTGACCACATGGTGACTTGCCTGTCTGGTGTGAAGGTTGTGGACCTAACACTGTCTAGACTGATTGATAGATAATGCTGGGGAGGAGTCAGCTGTCATGCTGCATGTTGGCACCAATGACATTGGGAAATGTAGTCGTCTGGTCCTGGAAGAAAAATTAGGTCACTAAAAGCAGAAGGTTAAAGGCCAGGACCTCAGAGGCCGCATTCTCAGAAGTGCTGCCAGTTCTACATACAGGGCCAGCTAGACAGGGGCTTCAATAAGTGGGTGAGAAAGTGGTGCTGGAGGGAAGGGTTTAGGATTTGCTAGGCACTGGGGAACTTTCTGGGACAAGCTGAACCTGTACAAAAGACAGGCTTCACTCGAACCAAAAGGGAACCAGACTGCTGGTGATTCAGATCAAAAAGGTGTCAGAGCAGCTGTTAAAATAATTCTAGGGGAAAGCTGAAAGGCGCTGGGGAGTCAGTACAAGTCAATCCAAAGGTATGACTGCGCAAATGCTCAGGGTAATATTGATAGGAGCGTAATAGAACTTGGGAGTGAGGGCATGATGGTGACTGAGGGCCACGTGTGGCGACTAAGGGGCCGAGGGAGGTGAGGGTTACTGGAGAGGGAAACACATTATGGGTACCTGTATGCCAATGTTAGAAGTCTACAAGCCAAGATGGGGGAGCTGAAGTGCTTGGTATTCAGTGACAATTTAGATGTATTAAGTATTTCAGAAACATGGTGAAAGGGGGGAAATCTATGGGATACAATCATTCCTGGGTATAAGTTCTATAGGCAGGACAAGGAGAGATGGATTGGTGGTGGTGTTCAAAAAAATCAAAAATGGCACAGAATCAAATAAGTTAAAAACCATCAGGGGAATTAATGCCCCCAACAGAAGTTATATCGGTGGAAATACGGGCCCTAAGGGTTACTTAAAAGTGGGGGTCTACTATTGCCCATCTGAAGGGAATAAAGGAGGTGACTAAGGCAGATATTATGCTGGGAGACTTCAACTACCCTCACATTGACTGGGTAAATGTGTGCTCGAGTCATGCCATAGAAATGAGACTCCTAGACATCATAAATGACTGTGCACTGGGACAGTTGGTCACAGAGCCAACCAGAGGGGTAGTGATCTTGGACTTGGTTCTGAGCAGGTCTCAAGAACTGGAAGCACCTTGGCACTGAGGGCGTGGCAACATTGGCTCCAGCGATGATTGCGCTCTGGCGACACCTGCTGCTGCTCTTGGGGGGAGTCGCCCTCCCTCTGGGCGGGGGGGGGAGCTGCCATGAGTGAGCCAGGGAGGGTGGCTAGGGTTAGGCTCTTCTATTTTTGTTATATTTTTGTGACATCAGAAATGACATCATACCCCCCCCCCCAGTGCTTCCCCACTGAAAATCATCTAGCTACTGGGTGACCTTGGGCCAGTCACACACTCTCAAGCCTAACCTTTCTCTCCAAGGAGGACCCACCCCCCAAAGCAGCTTACGTTGCTCTCCTCCATTGCACCCTCACAACAAGCCTGCGAGGTAGGTTAGACTGAGAGTATGTGGATGGTCTCAGGTCCCCCAGGCAGCTTCCATAGCAGAGTCGGGAATCAAACTTGAGTCTTCCAGAGCCTAATCTAACACTAAGCACAAAACCACCCTGGCTGACTGAAATATCTGCTGAAGGGAAGTGCTTCTGGTTGTACTTGGATCCTCTCCCCTCCCTCCCTCTGAACTTTCCCTGTCCCATTTTCCTGAGAGGTTTTGCCACCATGAGCAGATGGTTTTGTCTAGAAGCACAGCGGCCGGGATGTTCCTTTCTCCACCTTTTCTGATGGCACTATACTTTTTAGTAGGATAATGCTGTTGTTGGGGTCTTTGGTCAACATTAAAGAAGCATCTTTTACACCTCCAAAGCTTCACTCTGCCCACTAATTTACCACCTTGACCCTTGCCACGGCTGGCTTTAGGAACCTTGGTGGCCGCCTACAGAAAGACTCACCTCTGCGACGTGGAGCTGGAGGGACGGGTGTCCATGAAGGAAAGCGCCTTTACCAATCCAGGTTTGGAGATTGTGTCGCCTATCAGCACCCCGGCTGGAAAGGTATGCGTGAGATCCTTGGGGGCCGTTAGCCAAAGTATTTCTTTTCCTTTGCTAAGTCATCAAGTTTGAGGCTTAGAAACCACCACTGTTGTGAGTCAAGGAACTCCAAAATGCATCCAGATTTTAAAGATCGCATTCTTTATCCCAGTAGAAAAGAGCAAGAGTCCGGTAGCACATTAAAGACTAACAAAATACGTGGCAGGGTACAAGCTTTCATGAGTCACTGCTCACTTCTTCAGATACAGCCAGAATGGGAGTCCACCCGTCCTATATATTGGAAAATATAGAGGACGGATGGACTTCCTTTCTAGCTGTATCTGAAGAAGTGAGCAGGCTTACGAAAGCTCTGCCACTACAGACAGACTAACATGGCTACTTGTCTTATTCTTTATCCCAGAAATCTGTCCAGCAGCACTGTAGACAAGGCCTTGGAAGCCCAAGCTTGTAGCCCTTCTGACCTTGGCCCTTCCCTCAGGAGAAGGGTCATCTACAGCATCACACTTAGATGTTCTGAGCACGGGTTGAGGCCAGGGGCAGACCGCCTGCCCCACTAACCACCTCCTAGCTCAGGGAGAGAGTGGGACATCATCCCTGCGAGCAAGTGCCTTCAGTTTGGGTCTGTCAAGGTCAGTCTTGTCTACTCTGATTGGCTAGCAGCTCTCCCAAGTTCTCAGGCGAAGGCCTTCCATATCACCTGCTACCTGAGAGCCTTTTCAGCGGGGGGATGCCAGGGACTGGACCGCGGAGCTTCTGCCTGCCCAGCAGGTGCTCCAACATTGAGCCGTGGCCTCTGCTCAGGGCCAGAATGCTCACAGTGAGGAGCAACAGTCAGTGTGGCAGGCAAATCTGTGGATTCCCCCCCCCAAAAAGGTATGATATGTATTATCTCCTCCTTCCTCAAGTGACAGAGGGAGAGCTGAGAATGATGAGAGGTTTGGTCTCAGATTTGAACCGATAGCCAGTGTTCCCTCTAAGTTGAGTTAGTGTGAGCTACCTCACAGTTTTTTAGCCTCCAGCTCACACATTTTTGTCTTAGCTCAGGAAGGAGGGCTCCAGAACAGACCTAATTTATGCCGGAGCCAAATCGCTCACTCACAACTTTAGTGCCAGGAGCCCACAAAGTAGAATCTTGGCTCACAAGACTCCACAGCTTAGAGGGAGCGTTGCCGGTAACTCGTCAGTTCACAGCTTGGATGTGTCGCCATTCACACTGTGCCGAGACGACTCCCCCGACACGACCCTACGCTCACTCTGAAATGAAACCCATTCACAAAGCTCTACCACTGACAGTGCCATCCTAGGCAAACTTGAATCCTCCTAAAGTCTACTGAAGTCAACAGTCTTAGAAGGGCGTGACTCTGCTTAGGACGCCCGTGTTGGAGATGGAAAGCAGCTGCAGACTTTTCCCACCTCACCCCAGGAATGGCCCAAGATGGTTTGCAAAAGTACTTTGCTGGGGAAGACGTGGCCATCTCTGGCTCTCGGCCCCAGCCTGCTTCCCCAGCTGCATTAAATCCAAGCACACACACACACCCCTTCCCTCAGGGATCCCAGCCAGCCTCCCACTGGTTCCCCTTTCCTTTTAGGTTGGCCTGGCCATCTGTTACGACCTACGTTTCCCAGAGATGTCACTCGCTCTGGCCCAGAAAGGGGCAGAGATCCTGACCTATCCGTCGGCCTTCACGGTGACCACAGGTTCTGCTCACTGGGAGGTAAGAAGCTCTGGTGCCGAAGCGGGGGATTCTTTGATCCCCTGTAATATTTTTGCGAAACCCTTCGGTCTGTCGTGAGCAGTGGAGGGGGGGGGGTTTCCCCAGGTCCTCACTGTTTGTCATCCCCCAGGTGCTGCTACGAGCTCGCGCCATTGAGACCCAGTGCTACGTAGTCGCAGCCGCTCAGACAGGCAAGAACCACGAGCGCCGCACCTCCTACGGCCACGCCATGATAGTGGACCCCTGGGGCAGCGTCATCGCCCAGTGCCAAGAGGGACCGGGCCTCTGCTATGCTGAAATTGACCTGGCTTACTTGCATCACATCCGGCAGGAGATACCCGTCTTCCAGCACCGCCGGCCCGACCTGTATGGCCGGGTGGCCCCCTTGTCATGAGCAGGCACCCTGCCTGCCACACCGAGGACTCTCAGCTGCCACTGGGCTTGCCTCTGGAATCAGGGGGTGTGACCCACGTGATTATGAGGAGGAGCAGCCTCCGTCCATCCTGGACCTAATCGATTAGCACTGTTGATTCGTGCACCGGTAAAGAGCTGCGGTGCTTGCGAGAGTGGGTGCAAAGTGGGACTGACGGACAAACCGAGCACCATACAGGCCAGATTAAGAACACTTTACACCATCCCTGCTAGAGAAGCAAGTGTCTACTCAATTCTGCCATTACTGGAAATGCCATCTTGGGCACAGATTTCCTTCTAGGCCTCTGGCACTCCAGCAGGTTCCAGATCATTTTTCACCCAAATAAAGCTTTATTGCCACTTTACACTCCTCCAGGACCATGATCCATCCCTTTGTCTCCATTTCTAATCCTTGTTTATAACAGGTGGGGAGAGGCTGTGGCTCAGTGACAGAGCATCTGCTTGGCATGCAGAAGGTCCCAACTTTGATCCTTGGCATATCCAGTTAAAAGGATCAGGTAGTAGAAGTGAGAGGAAAGCCCTCTGTTTGAGATCTTGTAGAGCCACTGCCAGTCTGAGTAGACAAGCCTGACCTTGATGGGACTGATGATCTGATTTGGTAGAAGGCTTCTGCGTGCCAAAGCAGATGCTCTACCACTGAGCTTTGTGTGTTCTTGTGCTTTCAACTCAAGCCAGGTTGAGGAAGTGGGGGTGGGGGAGGCTGGCAGAAATAAGTGTTTCTACTCCACAGGCATTGGGTGCTTGACACAAGACAGAATTACAGTTCTGCCTCCAGGTAGTCCAAATTCTGCAACTGACACAAACCCACATAACTTTCTTTTCATGATTACGTCTTTGCTAGTCATGAGAAGGGACGAACATCCTCTGGGATTTACATTCAGCAACACATGCTGGCATCTTTAAGCACCTTGAGCTCTTGCAGTGTTTGTGTGCAATCAAGACATATTATTTATACACTACTATCAAAGGGATTAGAGAGACTGCTGAAATGCATCTGACAATGAAGCTCAAGATAAGTCCACCTGGACTTAATCGAGACCTAGGTTTCCTGTGTCACAAGGTGCTTTACCAAATACAAGACGACAAGGCTCTGCCCCAAGGAGCTTACAGTCTAGTAGCAGCAGAAGGTAAAGTAGGAGTAGGTGGGACAAAGAAGAATGTGTGTCTGTAGCCCGCTCTGGTCTTAGGGCTGCAGTCCGAGACATTGTTTCAAGACACTGACCTGCCTAACAAATCTCAAAAACCAAGAGCAGCTGAATACAGTTTCTAAAACTCACTGAGTGAAACTTCAAGGCCTTTAGATCAGTGGTTCCCAACCTTTTTGGCCTGGTAACCCACAAGTCTGAATTTACTTGGTATGGTGACATATTCAGGGGTGGCTCAAGGTTTTTTGTCGCCCTAGGCAAACTATGACTTTGGCATGCATCTATTTCAGCATTCCATTTCTACAGTGACAAACCAGATGGTTTTGAGAAACCAACAAACACCACACAAAGGCCCCAGCTGCCCCCAATATGTGCCCCAAGCAAGCGGCATTCCAGACAGCCTTTTCATATGGACGTTACATCCAGCCTTTGATCACCCTTTCTTTCTCCGTTAGCCCTATAATCGCTCCTAAAATTCTAAAAAAGTTGTTCCAGTAATCATCAGGACATGTTTATGCAATGAAGGAAAAAATGGCAACTAGTATATGACATGGAAGATAACTTTCCAGGGTCATATTTTGGTTTCTAAAATACAAAAGAGAGCAATGGAAAGGGCAGGGCTGGCCATTAGGGAGGGGGCTTTGCAACCCACTTTTGGGTCCCAACCATTGTTCCCTCTCAGCTGAGTTAGTGTGAGCTAGCTCACGGTTTTGTAGCCTCTGGCTCACACCTTTTTGTCTCAGCTCAGGAAGGATGGCTCCAGAGCCAACCAATTTATGCAGCAGCCAAATGGCTCCCTCACAACTTCAATGCCAGTAGCTCACAAAAGTAGAATTTTTGCTCACAAGACTACACAGCTCAGAGGGAAGCACTGGTCCCAACCTACACTGCTCTAGACGAAGACTGTTGGGAGCCTGCAAGGATCTTTTCACATACACCCCCTTTATGTACGGTAGTCCTGACGCATGGCTCAGGCAGGTCCTTTCCTGGCAGCCAGCCCCACAGCTCAATACAGCATGTTTTTGAACAAAACACACAAGCCCAGGAAAGCCAGATATTTCTCCTAGCACAACACGTTCTCTATAGCAGAGGCCACCAATGTTCTTTAATGGAACTATACTTCCAGGTAATGAACGATATCCCAAACTACTCCCCACCCCCGTGTTACCAAGATTTTTCCATCCAGGATCTTAGAAGCCAAGCAAGGGTCAGCCCTGGTTAGGACTTGGATAGGCAACCAACAGGCCCGTAGCCAGGATGTTTTTGTTCGGGGGGGGGATTTAAATTTTTAAGGGGGCAGTTAAAGTTATTTAAATTAATCTGAACACCTGTCCTTTAAAGGGGAGGCTCCGAGCGTGACAGTTCCTAGGAAAAAAACAGAGGGCATTTAATTGCCTTCTCAATGTTCCCTCTAAGCTGTGGAGTCCTGCGAGCAAAAATTCTCCTTTGTGAGCTATGGGCATTAAAGTTGTGAGCGAGCGATTCGGCTACTGTGTAAATTAGCTTGCTCTGGAGCCATCCTCCCTGAGCTCAGACAAAAATGTGCGAGCCAGAGGCTAAAACACTGTGAGCTAGCTCACACTAACTCAGCTTAGAGGGAACACCGGAAGACATCTAAATGCCTTTTATGTTCCCTTCCATGGGGTAAGAAAGCTTAGACGGGCACTCAAGAGTGGCGCCTTCAGCACTTCCCCAATCATTCCCCCCCCCACACACACACACTTTCTGCTAGCCCGGTCCTGCTGGATACCACCTAGGTCATGATTTCCCAAAGGCTCATGGGGATGGCTTTTGAAAGACTCACAATGACCTAGGTTGTATACAGCAGGACGGGGCTAGCAGAAAGGGGGCCTGATGGAGAGGTATTGAAGGTACCGCTCTTGAGTGCCCCTCTAAGCTTCCTTGTGGAAAAGAACCTAAAAGGCACTTAAATGCCGTCTGAGCTGTCTTTTCCCAGGGCCCGTAATTCTCCCCCCCCCCAAATTCCACAGTGGGAGGGAGAGGGAAGCGTGAGGCGAGGCCAAGCCACGCCAGAGTGCTCTCACCCTGGCCACCGCCAGCAGCAGGCAGTGTGTGTCTGTGGGGGGTCCTCTCCTCAAAAATAAGGTTTCTGGCATGGCTATTGGCAGGGTAGGGCTTTTGATTAAGGGGGCAGGGCCCTGAAATGTCCCATTGTAGCTACGGGCCTGGCGACCACCAAGGGAGTCTTGAGTTGCTACACAGAGGCAGGGAACGTTCGTCTCTTACCTTGAAATCCCCACGGGGTTGCTGTAAGTCGGTTGCAACTAGATGACAAAAAACCAGCCGCGAGAAACAGACGCATAACAGAAATGCAGCTATTGGCTAAGCAGCAGAGAAAAAGCCTAGGAAAGAAAAAAAATTACGGAGAAAGCCCCGAGCAGACCTTTTCCTGGGTCTTCTAGAGGGCGCACGAGCCACTCTGCGGCAGCTGCCAGGCTCCCGGTCGCTCACAAACTACTCGTCGGGAGACTGCCGCTCTGCAGACACAAAGGCGAATCCCTCACCGAAGTACTGGCCAAGCACCATGCGGACCACCAGCAATAAAAGGCAGATTTTTGTTTTTTTATTTTGAGAAAACAAAGCTACACTGGGATTATTACCAGTTATACTGGAAGTTCCTTTTTTAAAAAAAAAAATACAGAAGCCATGGATTTTTTTTTTACACAAATTTGTGCCGGAATTGACGGGAGCAATTACGCGTGTGTGCACACGGGAGGAAGGGAGGCGCTGCTGCACGCTTGGCTGAAACACCCTTGAGGACGCCAAGAGCTGCCAGGTGCTCGTGCAAAGGCCGGGCTTTGACTCAAAGCAGGAGGCGACCAGCTCTCTGCTCTTGCGAGCCTGCTGGGAGCGAGTTGGGGGCTCAGGGCCGGTTTATGTGGTCATCAAGGGCAGCATAGGCTTTCCCTGGACTGTACCAAACTGGGCTGCAGTGCAGAGGGGTTGCATTGTTTGAATGCTTGCCACACAAATACCTGGCATAGGCAAGGATGCGGGTAACCTGGAACCTCTGTCTTAAGTCCATTTTTCTGGAGACTTGATAAAAAATAAAAAGCTACGCCTGGGAGGTTTACAGTAAACGTGACCCAGAGGGGGAGAAGAGTAGGACCGGAAAGCACAGGAAGCTACCCCAAAATGCCCCCTTTCTTGTTTGCGTGTAAGGAGCTTTTCATGGAGAAGCAGACTCTTCCCTCCTCCCAGCGGGGGCTGAAATGGTACAGTCCAGAAAACGGGCCAGCTATTACCCACCGACCATATAAACTGGCCCTCAGTTGGAATCCCATTTGGCGCCACCCTTAGACGGGCGTTTGCCTGCTCGTTTAGCAGGAAGGAGAAGGAGAAAACAACCATTTCTACCAAATGGAAGGAGGCTTTTTTGGGGTGCGGGGGGTGCGGAGGGACCCACAGAAGTTCTTTGCCCAGAGACGGAAGACGTCTAGCATGGATGCCAGATGTCCGAGTGGCTCTCTCGGGTAGCCTCCCAAACCAAAGGTCGCTTCCAGCTGCTTCCAGTTTAGTGTGATCCAAAAGAAACCAACGCAAGACACAGAGGCAACAAACAGGAAAACAAATTCAGAAACAAAACTGATTTAAAAAAATCCCATATGAAGATAGACCTGGATCCTCATTCTTGCTCCCTCCCCCTAGGCCACAGCTTCGTGTGATTTTTGCCATGTGTTGACATCTCCCTTCTCTGCGACCGGAGCCCAGAGCAATTATCTCCTGGAACTGAGCAGGAAAAGGATTCTCACTGTACCGACATGAAGTGCAAAGGAGACATATATATATATGTATACTTTGGGACAAGGAAGCGGTAACCCCCAACACATCGGTGTTACCAAAATGTAAAAGTGCCCTTGAGCTCTCCCAAATTACAAAACCGTTTACACAGATGGCCCAGTAGCTCCCTCGAGCTTTTACAACTCCGACATGTCTGCCCTACCCAGGACACTGTCTGCTGCCTTTATCTCCCCCCCCCCACCCCCCACTCACGCCCTCTGCTGAGGATATTCATCCTGAGGCTCCTCCCGGGGAAGCTCCAACAGTCTTCTAAAAAAAAAATGCATCATGAAATAAAAGGAACATGGGAGGCAGCGGCCATGACGCTTGGCAGCAAGAATGGAATGGCAGCTGGGAAACCAAGATCCATCTCTTCCCCTTGTCCCTCCCGCCCCAAGCGGGCTTCCTACAAGATTTGCTCCCAAAGCCCTTCACAGAGAGCCAGACCGGGGCCAAATCCAGGTCCGAAAATGGGATGAGGAGTCCCAGCAGCTGGGGGGTGGCGGCGAAGCCAAAGAGCAAGGAGAAACTGTGGGGATTTCCCGACTGGCATTTCTTGCCCTACTGCCTTTGGTCTGACATGACCATTCACAAACAGCACATTCCTCTTCCTTCCCCTGCTCCTGTAATCCCAGCTGCCTCTTGGAGGCAACTGAGAGGGGTCTGTGTGTATGTGTGTGGGGTGGGGGCGTTCAAGGAGGGGAGAGGAAGAAGATCCTGAGGAGCATTCCTTTCTCTGTCATCTTTGGAGGCAGACGCTCCCTCTAACCAAAAACGGTCGAGGGAAAGGCACACACAGTGGAGTCAAGAGAGGGGCCTGGCAGCTCTCCTCGCTCAGGACGCCTGGCCAAGGACAAGTGCTTGGTGCGGGGTGGTGGTGGTGGTTGGGGGGTTGGAGGGAGAACACCCGGGGCCCCCGTTTCAATTTAGTGTTGCTAGCTGGGTTTGGAGGAGGCTTCAGGAGCAGGACCCCAAATAGACATCCTTATCTCAAATAAGGACAACCTCCCCGCCCAAGGAGAGCTGATTTCAAAGAAGACGGGAGCTGAGGTCAAGAGGTCTCTTGACCATCTTGCACAATGGACCCTCATTCATTCCGCGAACAAGCTATTTCCTTCCAGAGAGGGAACTCCCCCACCCCAAATTCAATTGCATAACAGTTCATAAATCAGACTCACCGCCATCTTACAGATAATGCTACATCGTGGAGGTGGGTGGACAGATTTGGTTTAAATTAAGAGCATCTTTCTGGTTCTCACAGTCCAAGACACCAAATTCCTTCCCTCCTCTGTGCACAACCCCCCCCCCAACCCGCCCTAAACTCACAGCTTTGAAAGAAAACACTGGCATAAGATGCTCCCCTCACAAGAACGGCTACGTCTGGGGTCAATTCATTATTTTTTTTTAAAATATAAAGAGACGACCTGAAGTCTCATTTTCTGGGCCAGGCTATACTCACTTCAGACCTTTCTGGGCAATAGCTAAGTGCGCCAAGGGGTCGTCTAATTTCTGGAGACAGAGGGTACCAACAAAAAAACCCCAAACAAACCAAAAATAAGTAGTAGAAGAAGTAGACAGCACGAGAGAGAACGTGGTAAGGAAGGACAACGGACCTGGGGAGCTTCCAGCAAGCAGCCAGAAATGCTCTCCTAGGCTGTAGGGAACGGCCCTCTCCAAAGGCCTCGTAAAGAAGGGCCCGGGACCAAATGCTCGGAATTTTTCCTGCCTCCCATTTTGGTTCCCAACCAGAGGGAGGGAGGGAATCAACTGTATCCATTTCCACATTGGCAGGTCTCACAGTTGCTCAGGATTTGACTCCTTAAGAGAATATCCCCGCCCCCCCTTTTTTAAGGAAAAAAAAAATCCCAATTCCATTCCAAAGAAGAGGCAGTTGAGAAAAAAGGGCAAGGGTGGGGTTCAAGGAGCCGTCTGGAGCATCAAGTTCCTCAGGAGTTTCTGGCGGCCCACCTCGTAATCCTCTTCGTCCACATTGACCAGAAGCTTGATGGCTTCGTGGCCCACCGCTTGCTTGAGCGAGTCCGTGATAAAGACGCCTTTCAGGGCCTCCAGCAGCGAACCGTTAATGTAGTCGCGCCAGAAGGCGTCGAGGTAAGTGAGCTCCGAGAACTTTATGTCACAGATGATCGAGCCCAGGTCCCGGGATTTCAAGATCGTGTTGGCCTGGCTAAAGCGCTCAAACTGCCGCTCGAGAGGGTCCTGCTTGTTGGAGAAGACATTCCCCTCCAGGGCCGTCTCGTGCTGGCAATACTCCGCTCGGACTCGGAGGCGGATGTCTGGAAAGAAGACACCAGACGACAGGATGAGAACATAAGAGAAGCCATGCTGGATCAGGCCAATGGCCCATCCAATCCAACACTGTTTCACATAATGGCCAAAACCCAGGTGCCATCAGGAGGTCCACCAGCAGGGCCAGAACTCCAGAAGACCTCCCACTGTTGACCCCCAAGCACCAAGAATACAGAACATCACTTGCCCCAGAGAGAGTGTTTCATCTATACCTTGTGGCTAATAGCCACTCATGGACCTCTGCTCCAGATGTTTAAACAATCCCCTCTTGAAGCTGACTATGCTTGTAGCCACCACCACTTCCTGCAGCAGTGAATTCCGCATGTTCATTTCTCTTTGTATGTACATTAAGAACATAACCATTGTGTGAAATCAGACAAATACTCTGGCTCGGTAGCGAAGTCAGATTGCTTCTGGAAGCCCAGGAGCAAACCACAAAGCCTGAAGCCCTCCTTCTCTTGTTGTTCATCTGGGGTCCCCTCCCCCAGAAGTACACTGCTGCTAGCAGAATCTCCCCTGGTACCTTTACCTCCAGTTTTGGCACATAACAGATCATCTACAGCTTCCATCTATCCTGCTTACTCCCTTGTCAGATTTTGAGTGAATACTGAAGAACATGGATTCAGGACGCAAAGGTCTTATTGCAAAGCTATATGATATATTTCTTCAACTGGATGGCAAGAGCCCTCTGAGTTATCAGTCTCCTTGGCAACAAGACTGCAACATCATCTTGACTTAAGATCAATGGACTATGATATGGACCTCCTCTCTTTTCACTTCTTCAGCAATCTCCACTAAACTACAAGCTAACAAAATCTAACAGCTAACAAGGTGGTACTTCACCCCCCAAAAAGCTAGCACTAATAACCTCATCACACTCCCCACTCTGTTGGAAAAACTGCAGAGAAATAGGCACTTTTGCTCATTTTTGGTGGCAATTTAAATAAAAGCCTTCTGGATGGAAGGTCTTTCACAAATCTCCATCGTAACAGGCTACACAATCCCACTATTGCCAGAAATTCCGTTCCTTAACTACTGGCATGGTTTCTCTTTTCCTAAAGTAAGATGTGAACTAATCATTAGCCTACTTTCGTTGTTGTCATTCAGCCGCACAGTCGAGTCCGACTCTTTGCGACCCCATGGACCACATCACGTCAGGCCCTCCTGTCTTCTGCCGTCCTCCAGAGTTTGCTCAATTTCTCCCTCCCAAGAAGGGCTTGGGGTGGCTGCGGGTGTTTGGGCTTGGGGACGGGGCTTCCCCTGCCGGCCAGCTGGCCGGCGGGTTGAACCCCCTCCCCAAAAGTGGGTAAACCCCGCAAGACCAGGGGGTCTGGCAACCCTAATGGGAGGAAGGCTCAAAGCAGAAAAGTCTTCGACCGCCGGCAGAAAGCAATAATAGAAGGTGTGGAGAAATGCCTTTTTTTATTTTGAGGTTCAGACTGAGTAAAACCTTCTCCTTTAGTTTTAAAAAGTTTCCCTCTCTCTTGGCAGAGAGCAGGCGGGGAAGGGGGAGAGACAATTCATTCGCTTTCCAGCCTCACCCTCCCAGGCTTTAAGACATGCTAAGGGGAGACCTGGCTGGATAACAATGTGATGGTCAAGTCACACAAACAAACAGAGCTGCAAAGGTCACATCTATCAGGAAACAAGAGTTTGGGAGGTTGAAATCCCTGAAGAAGTCTTTTCCTGGAGAGTTCAGGAAAAGCTTCTTTGACCTGCCCTGCCCTGCCCGGGGGTGGGGAAACAGAGATAATAAAATCCTTGGCAAAAGGAGGAGGGTCTCTTTCGTGTGGTTTCCATCAAGTCCGAAGGAGCTCTTACCTGGGGTCTGCTAAAAGTAGCTGTTGCCATGTGGAGGCCTGCAGGCCTGAGCAGAGGCTCCAAGGTAACAGGAACCCTTTAGAGCCTCTTTAAGTATTGGTTAGAACCACTTTAAGTATCAGTTCTGGGCCCAGTATGTTTCAGTATTTTTATAAATGAACTGGATGAGGGGATGCAGGGTCCTTAAATTTGCAGAAGACACCAAATTGGGAGGAGTAGTGAACATGCCAGAAGAGACAGAATTCAACAAGATCTGAACACACTGGGAAAGTGGGTGGATGTGAACAAGATGCAATTCAATAAGGATAAGTGCTGAGTTCTGCATCTGGGTAACAAAAATGAGAGGCACACATACTCGATGGGGGATACACTTCTGAGTAGCAGTGTGTGTGAATGAGATCTTGAGCTATGGGTAAGCTTAATATGAGCAGTCAGTGTGATGCAGCAGCAAAAAAGGCTAAAGTGGTCTTGGAGTGTATCAACAGAGGCATAACATCCAAATCGCAAGATATCATAGTCCCACTGTAGACTACATTGGTCAGGCTGCACCTTCAAAGGTTGTGGACAGAATGGAGTGGGTGCAGAGGAGGGCGACCAAGATGATCAGGGGCCTGGAGACCAAGCCCTACAAGGAAAGGCTGAGGGTATTGGGAATGTTCAGAATGGAGAAGAGGAGGTTGAGGGGGGACATGATTCCTCTCTTTTAAGTATTTGAAGGGCTGTCCCTTAGAGGAGGGCAGGGAGCTGTTCCTGTAGGCAGCAAAGGATAGGATTCACAATAATGGGTTTAAATTATGGGCAGAAGGGTACCGGCTAGATATTAGGGGGAAAAAATGTTTACAGTAAAAGTAGTTCAGCAGTGGAATCAGTTACCTAGGGAGATGGTGAGCTCTCCCCACCCCCACAGGCAGGTGGATGAACATTTATCAGGGATGCTCTAGGCTGATCCTGCATTGAGCAGGGTGTTGGACTAGACGGCCTCTATAGCCCTGTCCAACTCTATGATTCCATGCACTTTCAAGATTAAGGAGCCTGCCTTAAGTTAACATCAGCTAGGGCATGTACAGAAGAAGGGACAGAGGAACTGCGTTTTACTCTTTTCTTTTGGATCCCTTGCTCTATCTGTTGCTGTGCTGGGAGTATGAGTGTGGGCATTTTCTTTTTAATAAATGTTTTGTAACCTTTAATGCTGGTAGCTGTTCTCTGTACTACACAGACCTTCACTGGCAGATGGCAGGAGCACCAGAGCAGGACTGCTGAAGATAACCACAGTGGCTGGGTAGGTTTGCACGGGAGTAGGTGATCCTTGAACCAGCAGCATTTGGAGGAGAAAAGTCCTGTTACCAACTTACCGCACGTCTGTTTGTCTTTAGGGTCTGGCGTCACCGACTTCCTCCTTTTCCGCTGGCTACCAAGGAGGGCTCTTCCCCGACCAGACCTCTTGGTACAAATCTGGGGACCTGAAGAGGAGCAGCAGACCAGCGGGTGGTGGGGAGGCACTGGAAGGCACAAGAAAGGAGGCTGATCAGCTACTATGCCAAAGTGTTGTCACAGTCCTTGAGCTCACCCTTCACTCTAAGTTCAGAGTGCCTTTCCTGGGATTAGTCCCATTTCAACCTCATCCTCTTACCTCCAGGCCAGTCCCTCTCCTAGCATGTGGGCCATAGTTGTGCAGAGAATACTGTGCACAAAGAAGATCGCAGGCTCGTGGCATCTCCACTTAAAAGAGCATCACAGGCAGCAGGAGGTGTTAGAGAAGACCTCTCTCTGCTTAAGAGAGTAGAGAGTATTGAACCAGGAGAAACAACCGTCTGGCTAAGTGTAAAGCAGGCTCATAGGTGATTAAAGAGGGACTATCTCTCAGTGGCACAGCACATGCTTTTATGCAGGTCTCAGAATCAAATATGGAAGAAAAAGGACATCAGCCTAGCAACCAAATACAGATTAGTCCGTGCTATTGTGTTTCCCATAGCAACCTATGTCTGCGAAAGTTGGACCATGAAGAATCAAGACAGGAGGAAAATTTACTCATTTGAGCTGTACTGATGGAGAAACCTCCTGAGCATTCCTTGGATAGCAAAGGTGACAAACAAGTATTGGAGTGCCTAAAACCAGACATGCCATTGGAAGGAAAAATCATAAAACTGCGACTGACTTATTTCAGCCATGTTATACAGAAGAACTCACTAGAAAAGGCAATTATGCTTGGATTGGTCAGTGGCAAAAGGAAACCAGGCTGCCAAAGAACATGGTGGCTGGACATCATAAAAGTCGACACCAGCCTGAGCATGGAACAACTAAAAGAAACCATACAAGATCAGAAAATGTGGAGAGACTTGGCCCATAGAATCGCCCAAGAGTTGAACATAACTGAATGGCTAACAACAATACAAGGCAGCTTCATATTTTCTTGTCCACGGTAAACGTTTGCTTATAGAAAGCCAAAGATCCGGAAAGTCACTGGGTTGCATGTACAAAAGTAGTTTTTGTTAATTCCCCCTCCCCACCACAGTTCTCCAACTCTCCTGTTATGCTCCTCCTGGGGGTCTCCTGTCCCTCAGAAGCCACATTTTGGGAGCATTTAGGGCTGCAGTGGTATGGGGGAGGCAAGGAAGGCACGTTTCCGAGCATGGAATTTAGACGGGATCCAAGCCACAAGGATCTCAAAGTTTTCTGTATTCCTAAAAAGCCACAAAAGCATTTATTAGATCACTATTTCCAGTTTTCTCAGCTGAATGGACCTCCTTTAACTCAAACTGCAACAGAGAACCCACTTAATTTTTAAACACAAATGTATCAGTTTTTTCTCCACTTCTCTTAAGCGTGACCAGACGACAAAGAAAGGAGTTCAGTACTGTTAATAGCTGCATTGAAGAAATGGAATTTTAGCAAGTACGGTTTATCTTGTAGGGGCAGAAAGAGTGGCTCTTATTGACGTATGAAATTGTCTTATACTGAATCCAACTCTCCAACCACTATGAACCATGAGGAAAGGCGAGATATCAATGTTTTAATCCAGTGAAAATGGGAGCTGGTAGGTATGGAGGAGGGATTTATCACAGATAGCCAGTCTCTGGCAAGGATGCTCTCTGCTTCTCTAACCTCCGTTGTATCCCAAGTGTTGATGATACAATGGCCCCCATTTCCCCCACATCTATACTAACGTTGTGCAATCCCAGATCAGTGAAGCACAAAACTGCACACCTCTATGAGATGTTCCAGGAAGAAGAAATTGACCTGGCTTGCGTCACAGAAACATGGCTGGAATACAATGACGTATCATGTCTGTCCCAGCTAACAACGCCTGATTATGCAGTTCTCCTGCCCTGCACAACTGGCTGGGGAGGAGGCATGGCTATTATCCTCCATGTGCCCTTCAACTTCTGCAGACTTCCAGTGCAAACGACCATTGGCATTGACTGTATGCTCCTTACAGTAGAAATAAGGCCACAGGTCTCTTCCTGGCACCAAGCGTTTTTAGAAAGGGGGTGTGGTCAGGCAGGGCTTTTGCCCAGCATGGCTTCTGATGGGCCACTGGACATCTGATTGGCTGTGCAGATTTTTAAAAACGGTTCATGAAAAAAACATCTGTCTCCACAGCTCCAGGATCTTCACTGTATGAATGGAAGTAAGCTGTGGCTGCTGCTGGCTGGCTCCACTTCCTGTGGCAGGCATTCTGTGGCAGGCATTTTGTGGCTTTGCCCACCATGCTGTGTCAGAATCCCAAAGGTGCCATCAAGCACAAAAATGTTGGGGACCCCGGCACTAGGCCTTCTGGTCTACTGGGCACCTAGTTTCCCAATGGGCACCCTGTGTAAGTGGGCAGAGGTACTGTTGGATGTGGTGCTGGAGACTCCTACATTTAGTTCTGGAGGATGTCAATATTCATCTTGTCAGGCCTGGCCCAAGACTCTATAGCTTCTTTGACTGCGCTGGGTCTCGCTCAGATCATGACTAGTCCAAGACATGAAAGAGGCCGTGCCTTGGACTTAATCTTTTGCACTGAGATTTTGAGGGAAACTTCCATTCTCCTGACCTTGCACAAGCTATGCAAAAATGGAACTGTTCAAGAGAGCTTTTCTGTGCAGGTAATATGGTTGCACTGCACGAAATGGTTCACAAACTTACTGGATAAATGACTGGTACTTGTGGTCTAGACTGCTGTGTATAGCTTACTGTAAGTAGAATCCTATTATGTAATTTCTGTCCCACTTAATATGTCCTGTTAGTACTTTTGGTATGCTTCAGTTCTTTCTGGTGTTTCCGGACCTCTAAAATCCCAATGCCTTGGTTACTGAAAGTCTCATACTGTTGACTGTACTGATTCACTCTGTGCAATCCGCCTTGAGTTCCTGTGAGAAACGTGGACTATAAATAACATAAATAATAAATAAATAAATAAATTTTTGCCCCTCCCCAGAAATGCAGCAAAAGTGTTTACACTCACTGCTTCCTCCTCAAGGGTAGTGGGCTCACTAAGGCGGTCTGCCCCAGGTGCATGATGGATCCCAAAGGTTTCCTTGGAGCTATACGCATTTTAGAAATAGTGTAAATTTCTGGACACAGATCCCCCAGTATCACCTGATTTGGCCCTTGGTGAGTAGCACAAGGGTAAGCAGTTCATTTGTTGTGAACACCAATCTCCCAGAGGACTGAATTTCATTTTATGACTGTGACTTCACATGGCTTTTGAACATATTCTGCATTATTCTAATGCTGAAATTGTTACCTTAAAGCGAATAAAGAACTTCAGTCAAAATTTGCAGGGGGAGGTTTCCTGCCAGCGCCTGGGGATTTTCCTACCTCGGCTGCTGACGATTCTACCTGATCACTCTCTGGAATAGGGAAACGGCCCAGGCTGTTGACACAGTCACCCCTAAGTACCACCCCCACCCCAAGACAGAGTCAAGCAGTCTCCCTGGCTTACTGGGGAACTGACGGGAGGGATGACGGCTAGAGTGCTGCTGGTGGGAAAGTCAGGGCGACACAACCCATATTAGAGCCTATTCCATGGCGGTGACAATGGTGAAAATGCAGTATTTCTCCACCACCACAGAGTCTGTACGTACTCATCCAGCTGAGCTGTACTGTGCAGTCTGGTGGCTTTTACGACACAGCCCCAGAGAACGGGATTCTGACCACATGACGGCCTGTTGTGATCAATTTGCTACTTACTTTCCAGACAAAACCACCCAGATCTGCTATGGGTTAGATGACAGCATGAATGCGGGTTCAGATGATGCAGCTTTGGCACCTGTTTGTCTGTTTTATATGGATACCTTCCAGCTTGTGGAGCCAGAGGATGCGGACAAGATCCTTGGAGAGGTGATACCTATCACCTGTGCTCTCAAACCTTTGCCCTTCCTGGCTAATAAAAGCTGCCAGCGGGGGTCTGACTCTCTAAGGGGAGTGGCAAATGCATCCCCGAGGGCAGGGGTTGTTCCACCCATGCTTAAGGAGGCAGTGATTACACCTGTTTTTTAAAAAACCCTCCCTAAGCCCTACTACGTTGGAGAACTTCCAGGCAGTCTGATTTTCTGGACCCATTTCAATCTGGCTTCAGGCCTGGATTTGGACAAGAGACTGCTTTCATCGTCTCGGTTGATGAACTCTACCGAGAACTAGACAGGGAGAAGGTAACCCTGTTAAATTCTGCTGGATCTCTCAGTGGCCTTCGATACTATCAACCACAGTATCCTACTGAGCCTCCTCTTGGCACTGTAAGGCATCATGTTACGAATCTAGTTCAAGTCCTACCTGGAGGGTCAGTGTCAGGGTGGAGCTGCAGGATTCCTGTTCTGCCCCATGGCCATTCACTCATGAGTCAGTCAAATCTGCGGGGTTCCAAAGGGTTCAGTCTTATCCCCCATACTATTTAATATCTATGTGAAGCTGCTGGGAGAGGCTATCAGGAGGTTTGGGCTGTAAAGTCATAGATATGCAGATGATACTCAGCTCTACCTCCCCCCCCCCCCCCAATAATTCCAACAATACTGTTGATGCTCTGAACCTGTGCTTGGAGTCAGTAACGGGTTGGATGAGGGTAAGCAAGCTGAAACTTAATCCTGGCACGACAGAGGTTCTCTGGGTTAGTAAGAAAGGCAGGGCAGGTGTTTCAGATCTCTGCTGTCTTGGATGGGGATCTACTCCTCTTGAAAAGCCAGGTTCACAGCTTGGGAATGCTAAACACAGCAGTCGCCTTAGACAAGCAGAGAGCTGCAGAAGTCTGGAGTGCTTTTGCCCAGCTCTGGTTGTTGCATCAGCTGCATCTCTTCCTGCTCCGGTCAGAACTAGCCACAGTGTTTCATGCCTTAGTTACGCATAGATTGAACTATTGCAATGTGCTCTACTTGGGGCTACCCTTGAAGAGTGTTCGGAGGCTGAAGCTAGTGTGGAACGCTGTGACTAGACTGCTGATCAGGGCCCACTATCCGGAGGGTGTCACCCAGATATTAAATCAATTACACTGGCTACCAATCCACTCCTGAGCCCAATTCAAGGTATTGGTTTTGCGCCTTAAAGTTTTGCATGCTTTGGGACAATGGTGTTTGAAGGACCATCTTTTCCCATATGCCTGAGAATCAAAACCACAGGGAGAGGCACCTTAAAGTTTTGCATGCTTTGGGACAAGGGTGTTTGAAGGGCCATCTTTTCCCATATGCTCCTGCCTGAGAATCAAAACCACAGGGAGAGGCCCTCCTGATTGTCCCATCAATCAAAGAAGATCATCTGCTGGGTACACAAGAGAGGGCCTTTTCAGTGGCAGCCCCATGAATGTGGAACTACCTCCCCAGGGAGGTGTGCCTGGCCCCCCTCACCTTCAATCTTTAGGGGGAAGCTGAATGCAGCTTTATTTAAGACTGCGTTTCACCAAAGCAGTTCTATATGGTGGTTTTAAATTTTGGGTTTTTCATGTATTTTATTTTTTGCACTGTATCGGGGCTGTAAGCCGTCTTGAGCTCCATAAGGAAGAAAGGTGGCTAATAAATGTTTTAAATAAATAAAATAAGCGTGAGCAGCTCTGGTTAGGATCAAGATATGAAAATAAAAAATTGCTGGGCTGCCTCCAGATCCAGACGCTATTAAAGAAGTACAAATTATTTTCTTTTTTTAAGGCTAAGAAGACACGGCTGGATTCAAAGGGGCAGGAAGGACCACAGCAAGACCACCTTAAAACGCAGGACACGGCATCCTCAGGGAAGCCGAGCTGGCAAAATCCAGGCTTTGGCCCATGAAGTCTCACCTGATTTGTGTTGGTGTGCAGGAGCGTGTTCCGCACTAGTGTGCGCGCGTGGCGTCACATAGCGAATGGAAGTCTCTTCGAGGTACTTGTCTACGAGATCAGGGCACACTGTGGAAAAAGAGAGCACATGAGAAGGGGCAGGGTTACCTGTTCCCAACAAGCGGAAAACAGGTACTTGGTACGAACAGCAGAAGGCCATGATACGGATCCCCCTTGCCAGAGGTCAGTTCACACGAGAAGGGGGAGTTGAGGGAAGAGAAGAATGCTGGGAGGGTGTCCTTAAAGAAAGGGTGGGGTGGGGTTAAAGAATTTGCATGCCACACCACCTCAGAAGTCTTTTTTTGAAGGTCCTGAACGAATAGGGCCAGTTTCTCCTAAATGAGGGGAATGAAGGGGAAACCATCTCCACGTGGGTTTTTTTATTCACGCCGAGGACAGCGTAGGAACACCTGGGGATCTTGCATGGAAGGTTTTTTTGTTTTTTTAAAGGAGCCCTACTGTTGAAAGAGACTTTGGTTCATGAGGCTGAGAAGAAGCAATCTGGGGAGGGATTTTAATGGGATGTCATTGATTAATCACTTTGGTTGATTAATCATGCCTGGAAGTGGGCAAGAAGCAGCCGGGCACCACCATGCCTAGATCCAGCTCCAACTGAATCCCGCCCCCTCCCATCACTGGCTGTTAACTGAGGCGACCATCAGAAGAGGTCAAGAAGCAGCCAGGCACCCACCCACCCACCCTAGCCAGATCCCACTGATAACCCCCCCCCCAATAGATCACTGGAATTGAATTTTGATGTCATTTGTCTTCCTTTTAATAATCCCCATGGGCTGCTTTAGAGCCACATTTTGGCAAAAAAAAGTAGGGCAGATATATATTTTTACTCATTAGTAAGTATATGCTTACCCTCTATTATAAAAAAAGAATGTAGGTCTATTATGTATGCATATTAAAAAAGGGAACCTCCATGGTTATCAAACCAGATACTGGAACAAAACAGCTTTGTGATCTATTAGTAAGCAAGCCAGGGCATCCAGTGGCCCCCACTGCAAACAAATGAGACAGGAATTGGTCCATCCAGGTACCCTCATTTCTATTGTTTCAGCGCACTCAACAGTGGCTCCAAGAAGTCACCATCAGACCCATGAAAGCCCAAGCGAGAGGAGACGTACCAGCCCTCCTCCTCTTCAAAGTGACATAGGGCAACAAGTCGTGGCGGGTGATGATCCTCAGCAGCTGCAGCACCTGGCGGAAGTTGGTCTCGTCACAGCGGCCCTGCCTCTCCAGAGCCAGCAGAAAGTCCCGGCCGCTGCGGATCATCCCCCGCTCGTAGTCATCGATCACGTCCACAAAGAGGAAGGACAGGACCCGGACGTCCCTGTGGGTCAGGTGGGTGCCCACGATGTCGAACATGCGGTGCAAGCTGTAGAGGCCGTGCTCCCGGTCGCCCTCTTCCTCTGGCCAGGCTTGCTTCCGGTTCCGTTTCAAGGCAGCCATCTTGCGTGACTGCCAGGCCCAGTTTGGCCCACCCAGCTTCCTCAAGAATTGGGGCACGAATGGCTCCTAGAACTGGGACACAAAGATGCAAAAAGAGACTTTTCCATCTGTCTGGTACTGAGGTAACAACTTGGCACTGATATTTTTGTGGCCAAAATTACATCATATCCTGGTTCTCTAATATAAAGCAAATTTCAATTACATCAAATGGTGTTTTGCTGGTTTACAAACAATATGAATCTTCCAATAAAAATCAACAGCAAACTCCTTTGTATGACAATATGAATCTTCCAATAAAAATAAAAATCAACAGCAAACTCCTTTGTATTAAAATAACCAAAAGGTGTAAATGAACAGAAGAAATGAAATCAACCAAAGGCAGGCATGCTAACCATCATAGCTACATGTCTCAGCATCGCAATCTAAATGGGCCTCTCCCCGGTTACCAACTACCTCGTCCCAAGAGACAGAGGGACCTGAGGAAGACCCCCAAGGAGGATCTCTGTTAACTGGAGCAACGCAGCTCTTCAGATACTCTGGGCCCAAACTGTTTCAAGGCTTTATAAACATTATGTCATGGCTTCACAATATGGAGTGTTCAAAGTGTTTCACATTCATTAGCTTTTTTAGTCCTTCCACAATTACTGAAAGGTAGACCAGTATTGTTATCCCCATAGGGCAGACAAGGGGCTGAGAACAGCTGGCCTAAATCCGCATTGTGAGGCAGGATTCAAACCAATGAGTTCCTGATCCATAACCTGGGATCTTAGGGCCAAATGCATTATGGCTTTTAAAGAGTTGGGTCTGAGTTCCCCAAGTATCTGTGAACACAGGACAGCAGGGGATGTAACTTCCTCCCACACTTTTTTCATGTGGGAAAATGACTGGGGGGGGAACCTTTCCTCCCCCTGCGGTGCCATTTCGAGACCATTTGGGTTCTCTTTTTTAAAAATATAGCTGTTCCCTGCAGCTGTTGTGTGGCTGCACGGAACACGAGCTGGGTCTGGGCAACCTGGACCCAACTCTTTAAAAACAGTAATGTGTCGTTTGGCTCTTCGTCTCTATGCTATTCTATTTCAACTTAGATGGGGCAAGACGTCACTCGTGCTATTAAGTCCTGCCACACACATTGGAACCAATTTTTGACCTACCCTCTTCATAAGGGTTACAGGAGCAAAGGAAAGGTTCTTCCCTTGGTAGTCTTCTGCTTTCTCATTAATGACACATTGACTGTAGCGTGGTGGGCAGTATGTTCTGGCAATCTTAGCCATCACACACTGCAAAAAAAAGGTAGTGGTCTCTTAGGGTTGCTGAACCCAACACCTTTTGGGATCTCTAGGTCAAACACCACTTCATCTGCTTAGCTGGATAATCTAGATACTTTTCTCCCTTTCTCACAATACAAGAACTTGTGGGCGCTCAATGAAATTGCTGAGCAGTCGGGTTAGAACAGATAAAAGGAAGTACTTCTTCACCCTAACAGTGATTAACACATGGAATTCACTGCCACAGGAGGTGGTGGCAGCTACAAGCCTGGACAGCTTCAAGAGGGAATTAGATCAGCATATGGAGCAGAAGTCCATCAGTGGCTATTAGCCACAAGGTATGGATAGGGACTCTCAGGCTGGGGCATGTGATGCACTGTATTCTTGGTGCCCGGGCGGAGGCAACAGTGGGAGAGCTTCTAATGTCCTGGCCCCACTGGTGGACCTCCTGATGGCACCTGGTATTTTTGACCACTGTGTGACAGCGTGTTGGACTAGATGGGCCACTGGCCTGATCCAACATTATCTTCTCTTATGTTCTTAGATCAACTGAAGACTCCAGACAAAACAGGGGTGACGGTGTCAGGGGATGTCAAGTGTGAAAAAAATGGGAAGCTCTTGGAGACCCAAAGAAAAACACTTTTATTATCAGTCTTTATATCACTGTTTTTTGCCTTCAAGTCCAGCTGACTCATGGCGACCCCATAGGGTTTTCAAGGCAAGAGACGTTCAGAGGTGGCTGGCCATTGCCTGCCCCCACCTCACAGCCCTGGTATTCCTTGGAGGTCTCCCATCCAAATGCTAGCCAGGGACACCCCTGTTTAGCTTCCAAGATCTGTTGAGATTGAGCCAGCCTAGGTTATCCATGTCAGGGCATTAGTCTACCAAAGAACAAAAGACAGCAACGACAAGAACAAGTGATCGTCAGGAGGAACAACCAGAGAGATTCCGCTGAAACCCAGAAGTTCCCATCTGGGCTGAATTCCAAAGCAGTTTATATAGTATCTTCAGTACACATAGACTAGCAGTATTCCATGCAGGTCCTGAATTAGTTTCTCACACCAGATTAGGCTGTAACCTGACCTTGAGAGCTAGTATATACAAGTTGTTTCCTCTTCCCAGACACTGTGCTTACATTTGCAACTGTAAATCACTGTAAGGCACATGACATTCTTTAACAAAGCATACTGTTTAATACAGACAACGGAACACATATCTAGGATTAGTTGTCCCTCAGAACTTTTCAGTGATTCCACACAAGTGTTGTGAAAGAGATGGATTTAACTACAATAGATGGGATACTACTACTACCGGATAACTTTATATTCTGCCTTTTTGCCATGGCATTCAAGATGGATTACAATTTAAATGTTAACACCTACAATACATGCCACTCAAGAGCAGACAGAAAAGGGAGAAGAAAGAAAGCAAATTCAGGCACTAACTCTTAAATAACAGCCAGGCAGAATGCAAGACACCTGTCTAGGAAGTTACCAAGCCAATGGCAGATGGTGCAAAGTAAGACAGAAGGAGACTTTTCTGCCTTCCTTCATACTCTGTTGGAAAGGACCCAACAAAGACTACCATGTTAGATCATGTTAAGAGCTTTGAGGAAAAACACCCAACGAAAAAGACCCAACAAAGACTACCATGTTAGATCATGTTAAGAGCTTTGAGGAAAAACACATGAACACAGAAGGACTATCAGCGAACATGAAGCTGCTAGTTTGGTGTAGTGGTTAAGAGCATGGACTCTAATCTGAAAGAACTGGGTTTGATTCCCCACTCTTC